GTGAGATTACTGATGCGTTTAACCTCTCTTCAAGCTATTAAGAGCTCGTACACCCCTCGATCTTGACGGACGGTTAAAAAATAACTTAAAACAAAATTGTCTGTACCTGAGAAGGTTTCCTTTTCGATCTTGATTTCTCGACAGGAAGCAGTCACCAAGGCCGTAAAAGGATTACAATGTAGTCGTAGGCAAAATTGTGAGCGTATTTTTCGTCCTGACACTACAACACACGAAGGTTTCCTTTTGTATCTTGATTTCTCAACAGGATGCTGTCGCCAAAGCCGTAAAGGAAGTACAATGTAGTCGTAGGCAAGATGGTAAGCGTATTTTTCGTCCTGACACTGCAACACTGTAGTCCGCACTCCCACACTGTCGTTTGAGCTCTGTTTGAAGTAGGAAGGAAAACAAAATCCTGCCAGACGAAGGTTTCCTATTGTATCTTGATTTCTCGACAGGAAGCAGTCACCAAAGCCGTAAAATAAATAATCCGATTGGCTGATAAATTTAGACCAAATGCGTTCTCTTTTTTCTCGTCACGTACACACAGCCGCGAAAAAGCGATCCATAAGTAACTTCTCAAAAGCTAGATTAGCTCTTTTTGAAGAACCAGTTCTTTTCCCCTTTTTTCCTTTGTTTATAAAGTCGACTCGACAGGAAGCAGTCGCCAAAGCCGTAAAATAAATAATCAGATTGGCTGATAAATTTAGACCAAATGCTTTCTCTTTCTCTCTTCACGTACACACAGCCGCGAAAAAGCGATCTATAAATAACTTCTCAAAAGCTAGATTAGCTCTCTTTGAAGAACCAGTTCTTTTCCCCTTTTTGCCTTTCTTTATACAGTACAAGTTCAAATGATAAAAAATAAGTTTCTTTCTAAATGAATCGTGAAAATTAGAAATTCGCCCACGATTGGAGGGTAAACAAGGAAATATTTCAATAACCGAAATGGTCGCTCATTGCAGCACGAATATTGATACCGATTGTTGACAACCCGGTGAAGCCAAGTGGATCGGAAACCAGAAATTTCAATCTTTAACCTGTTTCTTTTGGTTCAGTGCAGTTTTGCGTGCTAACAAGGAAAGTGGGTGCTATGATGTGCCGCTTTCCGTGTGGAAAGTGTCAATATTTCATTTGGGCGAAGTTACCGGTGTTCTTCAACAAATCTCTACGACAATAGGACTTTTTCTTGATGGTGGTTTTCAGATTTAAGAAAAAAAGTCCACTCCACTAACACAAATGTTTGGAGGTGTCTTGCAAAGCGTTTGATGTGTCTCGAATTATTCTGCCAATTTATCATAACGTGAACATTATAGATGCATAAATTTTAAGTTCTGCGAAATTTCATTAAAAATCATTTGCAGCTGCAAAGTTCGTTTTAGTAACAATAGTTATGGGAGTTGGTCTTGGTTTCTTTGCATTGGACACATTCAATCATAGTATCATCCGTGATGATACTATCGATGAGCCACATTGAATGTTCAGCCCGTGATCTTCAGGACAGTCTGGACACGGTCTACATTCTGTGAATTCACCGCTGGTACTTACTTTCACAAAGTTTTGAGTTAATGAACATGGGGGTTGACCTTCTACTACAGTTGCCATCATCCAGAGAAGAAATAGACGTTGAATTGTTTTCTGAAATGAAAAATTTAAATGAAGGCAAAACAATTGACTGTTCTATAAATTCGCCAAAGCTGTAAAAGAAATACAACTGCTAAATACTCTTTCATCTGACATATTTGATGACCTAGAATTCCGGGAAAAACCCCTAAATCTGAAGGGTACAAGTTCTTTCCTGTTCAGTTATCAGTTCTCCCTTTTCTTGAACAATCACCTGAAGCGGTCATTACAATTATGCATGGAACTACAATTATTCTGACAGTTTTGCGCTTAGCTTTCGATATACGGTCGGACAGCACAATCTGTTCGATTTGCTCTGCACGAAAGTCGACACCGGGTTCACTCTGTCAGCTGCCAACCAATAACATTGCATAATCCCCGAAGTTTACAGTAACCACGATGGTGCTTCGCTTCGGTGAAAGTGAGACTTTTCCACTCGTTTTCCCCAGTTATCTTCTACGAGCAACTTTTCGTTCTGTGCCAATCTTTGAAGGTTCGACAAACCGCGAGCCCTTGTCACTCTAAACAAGACATTTTCCCTCAATAACTAGCGTGCGTTTACAAACTTTGATTAAAAAAAAAAAAAAAAAAAAAAAAATCAAATTTAATTTGATCGAAAGAAATAAAAATTCGGCGCGAGTGGTCCTGGGAAGATTTGGAGTAACCTAAAAAGGTTCTGAGTTGTATGGAAATTTATCCGAAATAATTGTATTACGTTTCGCAAGATGTTAGGATTTGGTATGATTAAAAATCGAAACGCCCTTTGTGTTTTACGTTTCCTTCTTTTAAATCTAGTGAAGGTGGAATTTGAACCCCATGCATCGTTTGCGGTATTTCCGGGGTTCGATGAAGATAACGGAAAATGCGAAGCCGCACATTGGCGAAGCGGAGCGCCAAAGAGTCCGAAAACATCATTTCAGTTTAAGCTATTTCTATCTTATGCTCCTTTTCATGAAGTTTCTGGAAAATGACGGACCGACGTCTTGCCAACACCACAAATGTCCTGTATCAAAACCATTCGAAAAGTTGGGCTGACATTTATCGTAGAAATCGAGCTCGATGCTGTCCGACCGGATGTCATAAGCAAAGCGCAACAACTTTAGAAGCTTTGATCGTTAAATGAAGTCTCCTTTTCAGCTCTAAAGGAAATATTTAGATGATGATGATGTTTGGGTGTAAAGAACTGAAAAGAAAACCGATAGGAACACGGGAAAATAATCTCACACTGCTAGCGATTGATCTTTTGTGATTGACGCTGAGCAAGTTAAGTTACATTTTATCAGAGATCACGTCTGATACCCGATTAATTCGACGGAATGTCGTTCGATCGCTTTACTGTTTATAGGATTCCTTTCCCTCAGGAGAGGAAAAAACAAACATCTCTATATTATAATTATTTTTTAATTTGCACTCAATATTCTTTGTAGTGATACATAGTGTGTGATGGTTTCCTCAACATCAGAACGTAGGAAGTAGGAAGGAAGCGTAGGAAGTTTTTCCCGGTAGGAACCCGCGAAGGTATGCAGTAACGTTGACGAAAACGTGTTGGGGCAAAGACCCCCTCGTGTGTCAGTGCGGAAAAAGCTAGCCATTATTTACCGCCCAGGGTGGTCGGAGTGTTTTGAGGATCACAGGGTTTCTATGGGAACAGAAAGGGATCGGTCGTCACTAACAGAGTATAAAGGGGGAGCTGCAGAAACTGAGTGTTTCTTTCGATTCATTCACTGCCAATGAAGGAGAATCATTAGATTTTTACACAGCCTAAATGGGGATCATGTAAATTTCATTGTGACACGACCTCCGTACACCCCCATTCCCCCATCCCCTTCAGGGGATAAATAATGGCTCGTTTCCTTAGCGCAGCATTAGCTTCGCCTCAGAGAATATCAGTTGATATTCCCTGGCTTGATCTATAATCTTTGCTAAATCAGGACGTTACTTAACAAATTAGTTCGTCGTAAAACTTTTCTTGAACAACTGCCCACTGATGTAGTGTCACAAATCTAAGCTGCAGATACACTCTCAGGATGGAAGTTTCCTTGTGCTAATGAACGACTCAAACAACGCTTGAAAATTTGAGTGGGCGTTTGTGTTTGGCTCAATTTAGTGTAGACAAGCTTCAAAAAAATTTCCGCCTCTGCGCATACTGTTAATTCTTTCTGTAGTTTCTCTAATTAACTTCCTGTCTTATAACAAGATCCGTGGGAATTTAACAACAGTGGATTAACTCTGATCCATATCTCCTTTGTCGATTCAACCGTCCAGCAATTGTTTCCGGGCTGATTTATTCACTCATTGCAAAACATCTGGAAGAGCAAATTGCAAATCCTTTTCCTGTTTTATCTTGGTCTCATACGGTTTAAACCAGTTTAAAGGTGAATTGTTTTGGTGAAATTTCTAGCTTATAAGATCGGTTTGACGTTGTTCTCTGTGTAACTGTACGCTACGCTCGAATTCCTGCATATCAATCAATCTCTTGCGGCGAAGAAATAAGCTTCTTACCAGCTGCACCCATAAGGAAGTAATAATGTTATCAAGGCCATAGAGATACGAGAAACTTCTAAAAAATAGCACGAGGGATAGTTTCATTCATACTGTCTGCGAGAGTCGATATCAGACGATCAAAACTAACAGGTTTGAGTTCTCCACGGCATCGCATAGGGCATCTGTAGTCTCTGTAGGGTGAAATGTTGAATAGTTGTGGTTACGGTTTTGACAATTTAGTAATGAAGCGAATTACGCTAATTTATAGCCTTGAGTGAATTTTGAAGCAGTCTAATAAATACCGGAAAGGTACGTGGGCGAGAGAGGTCTAGAAAACAATATCGTTTGATAAGGGATAAAAATATCCCAAAAGCATGACGTTAAAACTCAATTATTATTATTACTATTAAAAGAGAGCGAAACAATGAACACCGCCGACGCGTTCGGCGAAATGTATTTTAAAACGCGGGGCTCTTGGTTTCTGAACGACGCAGACTTTGCTAACCATTAAACCCTCAGGAGTAATTAAAATGGTACTCTCCTTATAATATCATACATTATCCAGCAAGCAGGTAATGAGAATATTCAAACTTATTTGTTTTAAGTTCTTATTTTAATCCAACACCAAATTCTCCCGGCTACTTTACAAGGAAATGTGTAGCAGCTAGAGGAGAGAATTAACAATCAAATCCAGGGAGTTAAAGGGTTAAGCAATTACGATTTGTGACACAACTATCCGAATTCATATTACGCCAAAGCCAAAGTAAAAAGAAACAAGTCAATTTTTTATTTGTTTGAGTTTTTTCCAGAACACTTACAAACACGGGCAGTTATTTATAGAAGGCCTACGTAATATTAAGGGTTTTTCCCGGTTATCCACGTCAGCGAAATGTCAAATAGTATTTGGTAGACACACAGCTATTGAACTTTGCTGGCAAGCTGAATGCGGACCGCTTTCTCCCGAGAAATTAAGATATTGTAGGAAACTATCAAAGGTATAGTTTATTTTACATTCGTAATTATTTTTCCGCCGTTTAGTTCATGAGAGAACAAGCTCGTAATAGCATGACGCAATCATGCTTGCGGTAGTCATTGCACATTCCTTTGTCAACTGACGTCGAGTTAGAGACTGTGGTAGTTATCCCGCAAAGCAACTTGTTTTACGAGATTTTTAACGGAAATAGGTATTTAGAATTGCAAAAACTTCAATACAGAACCAAACAGGAAGAACAAAAGGAAAGTATCAAATCGGTTTTACGGAACTTTCCTGAATTTTCTTTGCTTTGAAATACGCATACTTAGCAAAATTTACAATTTGCGCTTTTATGATAATTTTTTTCTCCTCCATTCAGTAGGAGAATAAGTTATTTCTCTCGAAGTCAGCTGAGAAATATGTCCGTCTCGTCCTCGCAGAGCAACTGAAAAGTTGGTTATGGCAACAAATTAAAGGAATGTAAGGTTTCGCATATAGCGGCTCGCATAGAGACAAACACGCCGTAGTTCGAAGTTTATCCGCACTGATAATATAATATTATTGATAAAAAGTTTGAGGATAGTCTCATCATTTTAAAACGTAGCTTTGATATCAGCTTGTGTTTTTTTAAATAAAAAGCGCTAGAATTTACCAGAAATCTCTACATTAAGCATCGTAAGATTACTTCACTGCTTGTTTTATCCAGGTCAAAGGCGAAGCCAACGTCATGTCTATTCTTCGTAACACATATTTCATCATGCTTATTCATACTCTCTGCACGGTAAGTGGTTAAACAAACCTCAACTTCAGACATCCACCTCCTAGAGATAATTTATTGTTTATAGTTTAATAGAAGTGTTCTTAAAAACGATATCATTACTTAGACAAAACAGCTGATAGAACATAAAGCCATGATGATGATGCATAGACGAAATAATTTCTGTAATTAATGAAATTAATCATTCGGTGTGAAGGAAATTTGAATACAAATAACAACATCAAAAATATTTTTAGAGTAACAGGAAGCTTAAAGTTCTTAAACAGCGTAGAACTCCAACAAATTGTAAATAATTAAGAATGCATGTACAGTATCCCGACAACGAAATTTCTTTCAACCGGAAAAACTGCTTCCTTTGCAAATAAACTCGGAATAAATGCCGACATTCCAGAAAACCCACTAATTTGCCGATTTAGAGCCGACTCTAGGTAAAGACTATCCACTTTGATTGCACCGAAAAAAATCAGCTGATGAATATGGTAGCAATAGAAAAACTTTTGTGGGAGTTTGGGAAGAACTTTCCCTGTTTCTAACTTACTTTTTTTTCCCTCTAACCTCGAACGGTTAAATTTTTCAATTTTTACGAATAAAGACTCTTTTTTTAAGCCGTTTTACGAATAATTTTCATCTCACTGAGGTGCTCTGGGGATTTTCCCTTTCAGTTTCGAAACGAACAAAGGTTGTTTATAAGTTATATCGAAATTGAAAGTAGCCGAGCTATTTCAGGAATGAGGAGTATACAAAACCGTCACATGAACTATTTGCAGCTGTTTTTCCAGTATCGGCAAGAAAAATTGTTTAATTTCTCCCAAGCTATCTTCATCCTGAGTAACTTAACTAGCAATTGTTGGGGGGTGGTTTATCAATAATCAAAACACATTTCAGGCGAAATTCGACTTCCGTGAGGTGATACAGCCCCACGAAGGCATTTCTTGCTTCCTAGTATCATTGCTCTATCTGCTGTCCAGATCTTTAAGTTAATTAACCCCGTGCACACAAGCTAAGTATCACCTCCATCGCGGTACTGGGGAGGAGAGGGACGGGACGGATGGAACTCTAAAGATTGCAATATCTTGAAAATTTTATACCTCTTAATGTATAGTCTGTTACGTCATCTACAGAACACTTAGTTCGACAACGTACTCGCTAATTGAAGCAAACCCTACATTGTTAGTTTTCAGTACAAGTAGCGTCTAACAGAAGCTGTAGGTGGAATCAGCTGACTATCTCGAGCACTAAAGGAGTTGAATGTTTTCCCTGTCCCAAATGTCCCGAGGGTCAGGGCATGGTCCCGCAGTGTGGATCACGTGTCACCACTAATGTCACAGTGGAGTGTGTAGAATGTACACCTGGGAAATCGTACTCGGATAAGCATGATATCTCCTCGTGTAAGCCGTGCACTATCTGTGACCCTAACGAAGAAACGATCAGACCTTGTACTGCTACGGAGAATGCTGTTTGTGGAGAATGCAATGCTGGGTATGTAAACGAACGAGTGTTTGGGTAAACTGAGAATCTTTAAGAGATGGTGTGTCAGGTTTTTCCTTTTTCACCAAAAAACAATAACTGCATGTATCGTATCTTTCAAAGGCAAACATCGCCTTATGAAGAGAGCGTAATATGCTTTCAGTTGAATAATTGCAACGCTGTTCTTTATGCAATTTAGTCCTAACTTTCATATGTCAGAGAGTATTTTTTATCTTGATTTAACACCAAATTCTCGCAACTAGTTTAAAAGGAAATATGTTGCAGCTAGAGGGGAGAATAAACAATCAGATCTTGAGAGGCAAAAGGTTAATTTCAAAAAGCCTAAGCTGAGACCCTACCTTCAAACCCTACCTCATCTTCATCAATTGAAGTTATCAAAGCTGCAATTTTTTACCGTGCACGCGTTATAATTATGCACAGAAAGGATACGCAACGCAGTACTGATGAAATGCCACGATTAAAGGTTATCTGAATGTTTTTTCGCGTTTCGTGACAGCTTCTATCGAGCTATAACCGGAGATTGCAAACCTTGTATGAGATGTTGTGCTGATAGGAAAGACGAAGATATAGAGAAACAGTGCAGTGTTCAGTCCAACCTCCCTGCAAACCAGGTATGTCGATACGATGTCAACACCATCAAATGCGCGCCTACTGTTTACAGGACAACTGCGCCTGCTGTGTTGGTATCCACGGCTCCTGCAATCGCACATGACAAGATGGCCTACCGCTCTGAGGACAGAGGCAATGCTAGTACTATTTGGTTTATAGCCGTTGTGGCTTGTGTTGCTTTTACTGTGTGTGTTTTCTTTGGAGTGATGTTATTTGTCTGCTACAGAAAGCAATTTTTGTCACAGTATTTGTGCAACACAAGAGCGCATGCCGACGGAGACTGCGTGACTTCAACTCGTAAGTATCTAGTCATGCTTAGGACCAGGATAAAAGAAATTACACATATCTTTTCATGTTTTTAACCATATTTTGGTTACAAAATTAAAATTTGCAACCAAAATATGTTTTGAATCATATCGGCTGTTTTCACACCATACCCCTCTCTTTAAATTAGGCGTATGACCCTTTCCTCGGAGTTAAAATTGCTTTAGCATGGGTCTTTATAGAAACTCTTTAGCTTAAGTCTATCCTTTCCTCTGATAAATTAAATGAAATCATCGATTTTTGCGGATGGACAGGTAAGCATTTGTTCTATTCGTAGAACTGAGTGTAATCTCCCCTCAAATATACAGTAGAAAAGAAGAAGTTATACTTTTAGTTTTAACAAGCCTACATGTTTGCTTCCCTTACAGCAACCCAAGTTGTATGTAATCAGCCTTCAAGTCCTCCGATTGTGACTGGGAATGACTTTCCTAAATTGCAAATGGTATGACGTCCGTAACTTTCATAGCCAATTGAACAGGAGGAGATATCTACAGACACTACACCTGCATGGCACTGCGGCCCACGTAGCCTTTTTTGGTTAATGTTCCGATTATAAAGAACTACTGAAATTTACCCAAGTAAACATTATTAACAAAGACGACGCAGCCCAGAGGATAAATAATGACCAGCTCCTGACGAAAAACCTGACTGAAACCCATGGATAAAATGCTAACATATTTTAACTTAACGTTATATTTAACAAGATAAGGAAAATAAGTGATTTGGATTAGATCACAGTCTTAGCTCATATTCATTTTCTAATCTTATGTTAGTTATGTTAGTGAGCTATTTGCAAATGCGACGAAATTTGGCACCAAGCTCCTCTTTAAGGTGTAAACAAGGCGGGAAGGAGGGCTCCCTCGAGATCCTTTTTCACTCGTCAGGACTCTGAATTACATAATTTATAGTAGCCTTGATAGCACATGAGATACATTGTGGATCAGATATGGAAGGCTACGATCGGCGACAAAGTTTTTGCCACATTACTGGTGATACCACATTCATAGTCTGGAAGAACTCATCAATTCCATTCCTTATATGGTCCCGTATCCTTATTTTTTACATCCCTCTTTCTCCAGTTTTTCAATATTGCACTTTGTTTCCTTTGATTGTGCAACATTGAATGGAAGAAGAGGGTATTAAAGAGAACTGTCGTTAATTTATAATGTTACTTTTTAAAACTTCCTAATGGGAGTAGCGTGAATGATGCCAGTGATGTGTGTCAAACAGTTTTGTCGCGGATTGTTTTGCTTTAGTTAAATCTAAAGCAAGCCCTGATTTACGAAAGTCGATAAGGGATCAGGTGCAATCCCAAAATATTTTTGAAATCCAAAAAATTTTTTAATCGTAGAAACAGGATTTTTAATAAAAATTCTGTTTTAAAAGTTTTACGATCCAAACAACATTTACAAATCCTGAACAAAAGAATAAATTAAAAGGTTTTTGGGATTTCCCCTAATCGGCTTCCGTATGATTAGAGGTGTTTATCGCAGACTTTGAGATTCTTCGTGTGGAAACAAGCTTTTGCTTTCAAAAGTACTAGTCAACAAGTGAATAAGGGGAACAACGCAACAGAGGCCTCTTCCTGTCCAAGGTGCTGCCTGATGTGGCCTTAGGCCGCGTTGTTCAAAACACGATAAACCTAACCAAGGGTTAGCCAACAATTTTTCATCTAGCTTTGCAGCTTTGCAGTTAGTTTTAATTGGGCTTATTTTTTTCCTCCAGTTTTGTCTCACGCTATAGCTAAGGTGAAATCCCTGAAAACGTAAGCCCAAATGTACGCTTTATTTCAAGACAAGGACAAGTTAAACTTTTAATCGCGGAGTATTGCTGGCGTCTTTTTGCACAACTGGGCTCTGGTGCGTTTGAAGAAAGCTTTATAATGCACTTCTATCTCAGGCGAAAATGCGCAACGCTAAAGGATTAAGTAACATCGCCTTCATAATCGAGATAAAGTAATGGCAAAAAAATAAAAAATAAAAACAAAACGAAAAAAACCCTTTGTTTGTAGTGGTGCATAATGCACTGAAATTATTTAAGCTCTTATCGGGTTCTGGTCCAGAACCGCAAGAGCTAATAATTAATTTATTCCGTTACAAGTTAATTGCTAAGAGCCAGCGGAAAAAAAAGATCAGAGATGCCAATTGTCTTATTAGCACGGGCAATGAAAATACAAACGATAATAATAATAATAATAATAACAATAATGATAATAATAATAATAATGATTACAGCAATAACAATAATAATATCAATAATGGTGTCAATAATAGTAATAATAATAATTATGATAATAATAACGATCATTTAAATATTTAGAATGATCATCATGATCATCGCCATCACTATACAGTACATTTCCCGCCTATTACACGAAGACAACGATAACCGCTAGCTCCACAAGAAAAAAGAAAAGGTTCCTGCTGTATCCAGTACCAGCTGAATTTTTATCAGCCTATGTGATACAAATCACTCAACTTAAGCATCCAAATGGGCTAGGAAGTGACCTTAGTCTCAATCGTACCGAGAATGAAAAATATGTGGCAGTTAATGCTCGCCAGGAGAATTCTGCACAAAGGTTCTTCTTTGATAAGCTAGTCCCAAGTTAGCACTTTTCAAAACTCGAGACTCATTTTAAGGCTCAGGAAAGGTTGGTAAGTTCATCAGAGTGAAAAATTATTCGATTTTACCACAGTATAATCAAGTAAATGCAAATAATCGTAACAAACGTAAAATTGTTATATCTAATGTCAGAACTGGTACGGTTTGCATTATGCTATCCCAATTCTCCCAAACGAGATCAAAATATAACTTCTTTGCACTGTCTGCCGTAAATTTCTTGTGACCCCTTAACTGATATTTCTCTCTTCTTCACCTTCGTCACTTTTCTGCTTGAAATTGTATCTGTACGCTAAAGAGAGGTTCATCCTAGGTATCTTCTGGAAATAAGAGCTTTTAGAAAATTAATCCTTTTAAGCTCCCAAGTTTTGGTTGTTAATTCTCCCCTCTAACTGTTAAACACTTCCATGTGAATTGCTAACGAGAATTTGGTGTTAGATCAAGATAACATTTTCTACTTAATATGTCTGACTATTCACTGAGCATTTTCTGGATATTGTATGGATGTAGAAGGGGAGAAGTGACATGTTAATCACTTTTGGTGGTTAAAGGTTTTATAATGCTTAACTGTTTTAATAATACTAAATGCAAGAATTAAAATTCTCGCATGTAAAGTTGGTTGCTCAAAGATACTCTCTGGATTGTAGCATAGTCCAGAGATTCCAACCCCATGTGATGGAAAATAGGGAGTAATTATTAGTGCCAAAGGCGCGAGCTTCTAGGGGGGTCAGGGGGCATGCCCCCGGGAAATTTTGCAAATTTAGGTTCTCTCAAGTGCCATTTCCTGAATTTTGACATCATTCCAGCCTGAGTTATAACATACCATAATGCTCTTCGCGAAGAAAGTAAGTATAATATGAGTGTTTCACAGTGACAGATCGCCAAAAATTCTAAAGATTAGCAATTTTCCCCTAGTTTTCAGAATTTTATGATAAATCGGGAGAATTTGGTAAAAATCGGGAGAGCGGGAGGCAAGACATCAAATCGGGAGACTCCCGATCAAATCGGGAGGGTTGGAATCTCTGATAGTCACACAACAGGTGTTCAAACCTTAACTTTTGGTGGCCCTGGTCAGTTTTAACTTGCCCCCGGCAACTGTGTGACAGCCAATTTTTAGCCCTGCATTGTATTGTACATACATTGTATGTAGGTTTTTTGTTTATTGTTTGTTACTATTTTTTCATTGGTTCTGATGCTGTTGAGGGAGAAAGGTGCATGACTGTACAAAAATTCATTATCATTCAAAAATACTATTTGAGATAAATATCACGTATTCTTTCCTTTCTCCCTTAATGTTCTGTTGAGGCCCATGGCCTGCTGCAGATGTATTTTGCAATGTCATTTCTTGCACAATTTTTGAGGGCTTGAACAAATTTCCTCATTGTAGGCTCCTTTGGAGAAGTTTTTAATGCTTCAAGTAGACATGCTGTGGGACTTCTTGTGTCAGCTTCTATCAAGTTTAAAGTATCAGGATTAACCTTCAGCTCTCTTCCAACACTGCGCCATGTTTTGCGAGTATGGGACTCTGCGGCATCAAGTTTTTTTTGAACATAGTTGAACAAGTTACCATTCTCATCACAAAATGTTTCCATACCAGAGACAAGAACATCTATGAGACAAAAAGGAAAGGAAGTTAATAAATATTTGAAATTATTTGGGACATGTTCACTTCACAATTTTGAGGTGTGCACATTTTACATCAACAAGTTTACAGATTTGGGGACATTTGTGTTGAATCCCTTAAATTATGCAGTTTTTATGAATTACAGGTGCCAGGATATTGACTGTATTTATTTTATTTATTGATGTATAGACAAATGGTTGGTAAAAGTCATTTTCCATTTTAGTTGCATGGGTTTTTATCATGTTATCATTACAATACAAGAACCGGTATGTACTGTTTTCATCATCTCATTTTAAGATTAATACAACCTTGGAGTGAGGCTTTTGCTATTGTGACTATAGTTTATTATCACCTGCAGGAATATTTTCTACATTCATGTCATCCTCCCCTTGAGCATCACTGGCATGAGAAGAAACCTCACATCTTGATATGTTGTTATCTAAAAAGATAATTGTTGATGAATATTGTTTTTACTCATCTATTATTTAAGAAAATCATTAGTTAGCAACTACTAGTAGATACTGGTCTCTATCACAACATGGTCACCTTCAGCCTCACTCCAATCAAAGGCTTTGCAATGAAGTACACAATTGTAAAATGGCCCTTTAGACTCAATTATACCTGTTGGAATGTCCACCAATGTCTGTGTTAAAAGTGGTTCTGTGGCATTATCCTGAGGAGCAGGATCATGCAAATCCTCTAATGAAAAAATGAAAAAAACATAAAAACTTGAAGCTATTTCTCTTAAATTCTCTGATGTGATTAACATGTTCTCCACACAATTTTGATATTTGAACCAGCCACCAGGTAATGAGAATTCAAACTTTGTTGGCAGCTAATGAAAATACTCCTGGCTTCCTGATTTCTAGGGGCTGGAATAAACAGATGCCACTATAGAAGGGAGAATTTAAAATGAATCAGATCTTAGAGTTTAAGAAGTCAACATTTAAACTGCATTAATTGATAAAGCCACAATTTTTGGTCATACAATGATAATTGTTGAACTGTGACAGAGAACTGAAATATAATTTTTGGTTCAAATGTTTACGCCAATTGTATAAAAAGCAATATGTGATACATACATCTTATAGATTTAAAGTGAAATTACTAATTCAAGTCATGAAAATTAAATGAGGCCAGGTTTGGATAGCTGATCAAAGGCTGGTTGCTGCTTGGTTTATGCTAAATGAGGTCTCATGATAGAATTTTATTATACTGAGTAGCAAACTAAATCTCTAGTTTGAGAGAGTTTAACTAAAATTTATTCTTGCTTTCTCTTCACCATATTCCCACAATTAGCATAGCTCCATTATCTGCATATATAAACACACACAACCTACAATTCTTCCAATCAATCTGATGAAGGGCTATAAATGCTTGAAATGTCAGCCTTTTAAACTCTTTATGGTGGCCAATTTACATTATGAACTAATTTGATGTTATTATTACCCTGTTATACTCTCCCACCGATGCAACACAGCAATTTCACTAGAAACTTACCCTCTTTCAATCCCCAGAACTTGAGGTAAAGAAAATATTACAGAACAATGGTAATTATTGGTAATTGCTTTTTATCAATGCAATCCTTTTTGTTTTTGTTTTTTCCTTTTTGTAAGATAATGCTAACCTATTCTATGTTGAATTCAAAGTTTAAAATACCTTGTGTTGAAGAGCTACTATTTGTGGCTTGTGATGAACCCTCACTTTCACCAATATCAGTCAGTGGAATAATTTCTGCAGCATTATCTAAAAATGGTATGTTCTAAGTTAATTGCAATTATTGACCAAGCACTGCATGCATGAAGACTTTATATGCAAAAATATAGAAAAGAGAGCTAAAATTAATTGTAAAGCAAACTTAAAGTTATGATCAGCAAAATTAAATCTTAAGAAAATTTATGAATATATTCAGTCTACGTCACAAAGATTCAGATCTCATAATTAATTCACCTTACTGTCTGCTATACAGTTCTGTTTATGTTAGCTGGGAGAATTTGCTATTGGACAAACTAAGTATTGCCCAATCAATATTTGTCTTAATTCTCATCACTTGTCTTCTCAACATCAGACAGATATTGATTGTAAGGAGAGATTCTGTCTTGGTCGCTCTTTAGGGGTTAAAGATGTGGGCTTGTTGTCAAATTTTATGGATGACTTCACTGAACTAATTGAAAAGGTAAAATGTAAGTGGATGAGGGTGAAGATGTGATCTAAAATAAAACATTTTCAGATTGGTTTTCTGAAATAATATTGGAAAAGTGCTCTGAAGAAATTGGGGAACAGAATCAACTGCCTTCCCAAACTACTGGGCAACTTATGTCTTGACATTAAACACTGGATGTAAATTTCTTGTTCCTGTTTCAGGTGACCTTTTCACTCCCAATATTTCATTAGTAATTCTCCTTACTGTCTTCCACACAATTCATATAGATTGAGTTTGGTGAAATTGGTAATGGATCAACAAATAATGTTAACTGATATTTTGCTTTATTCTCACCACTTATCTGCTGATGTTTTAATCATGTTGTAAGGAGAAATTTTGTTTTGGTTGGTGGTGGAAGTTTAAGGGTTAAGGTTAGTGTTTAAAATTTTTACTTGTGATATGATATATCACCTGTTTTGTCATCAGCTTTTTAAAAAACACTTTTCATGCTATCAGTTCCCTGATGGCAAGACCAGAGGACTTACTAGCACGATTTTTGACCAATTTTTGAGTGTTAAAATCTTACCTGTTGACTCCTCATCTCTTGGAGTACTGTGATCTTGCCTTTTCTTGTGGACAATCACTATCACCAGCACTAAGATAGTTGGAGCAAACACAATAACTAAAGCTATCAAAACATAGTTAATTGTTAAAAGTGTTTTGTGGTCCTGTCCAGGCTGAACTTTGTTTGTTGACCACACATTTGCAGAGTCATAATTTTCTTTTAGTGGTTGACTGCTGTTTATCTTGACCTTAACTGAAGGACTTGAGGCAGTGGTGGTAACATCATAGACTTCCGTTTCAGATTGTGTTTCAGTTATCTCTTTGCGACTGGTTTCCAATTTAACAGTTTTTGTGGAATGTGTTGTAGTAGGTGTGGGCATCATTGATTCCACTTTCACACAGTCATCAATGTTAATGTCAAATTCATATCCTTTAGGACATGTTTTCCCACACTCACGGTTGTGGTTAATTGTGCATTCCTTAATCATATTCCTCAAACCACAATCTTGACACGTTTTGCAGTGACCTTTTCCATGCTTATCAGAGAAAGTTTTGTTAGGTTCACAAAATACACACTCAATTTTTGAGTCATTTGACACCTTGGATCCACAAGGAACTGACAATCCCTGTCCAATGGGACAGTTTGCACAAGGAACACAGTCCACTATTTCACCATTGGGACTATACCGTACAATGTTTTTTGACAGAGGACATGGTATGGGTTCACATTTTATCGGAGACTGCAGCCATAGTAACCAAAGTAGTGTTATCTAAGGGAAAGAAAGAGGAGAACTATGAATCCATTTTGAGCGTGATTCTCTAAAATAATAATTACAAAAATTTTGACGTGGTGGGACACCAAGATGAAAAAGCCATATCATTTGGATAGGTTAAATTGTTACTCTGTTCCTTTTTCAATAGGCCATTTGCGAATCACCTTTAGCCTCTTTTCCAAAATGAGGCCTGTAGCCATTTAGTATTGATAGTAAACTGAAGTATAAATTGTAACACATTAATGTTTTTTCATACATGTATCTCGAACTTAAAGACAATTTAGAATCACAATCGTATTCACCTAAGTATTTAAGGACGCTGGTTTCAGAGGAGGCTTTCAATGCCTTCATTATAATATATACTCTGAAGATTTTACAATAATTTTGAAACTTCTTCGTCTGACAAGAATGGCCCAACTGAAATTGAATTTATGTTTTCGGACGCCCCTACAGGATCGTTGTAGTTCGGGTTTTCAACAAGTTCATAACACAAACATTCTCCACACTGAGCAGGTTTCTTCGTCGAACTCGAATGTATTCTTTAGCGCGATAATAAACTGATATGTGACGAAACATTTTAATTACACAAATCCCCTCTAACCTTGAGCTCGATGGCGCACTTCATACCATGTGAGAGAAACCTGTAAGAGAAACAAACGTGAAAGATTGATCGAAAACTTTCAACAGGTTGCTAGAGATATAAATAGCCAGTCTGCTGAAATTAATGCAGATAAAAAGGGGAATCGGCTCGATTAGAAACAACGGCAAAAAGAGGGACCTCTGCCCCTTCGCTAGACTTTACTGCTTACCCATTCTAACCCGCTTGGATACTGAAATTTAGGTTTCTTCTTGCTGGACAGAGAAAATCTGTGGTAACTTAAACTCTTTTCAAGTCGAGTTATTTGTATTCAGTTAGCGATCCTAATAACAGAAGCGCACGCGAAAGTGATGGTGCAATCGACGTCGCGGATCGCTCTTATGACAGTAGAGGAAGACTGGAACGAGGTAGGGTCTGGGGATTAGGGGGGATTCCCCTTAAACGATTTCTGTCAGTTTTTTTAACTTTTCAGCGAGTGTACGTGCGTTCGCTTATAACCATAGACGACTTCGTGTTTCCTGGTATGCTGAACGTTCTACATTTAGTTGTTTGTGGGTGACCCTTGATGCGGACGTGGAAATTTCAAACAAAGAGAATTATCCGGGACCCGTTTTGATTGATTTACTATGTGCAATGAATCTTCTCGCTTCTCAAATATTAACAATTTAAATAATGGCCGAAACATTGCGATCTTCAATTGATGTCTTGAATTTACAATTGAAAGTGACTCTTGAATTATTGTTCGGACGATTAAGCATCTTTTTATCATCATAGTCAACAAAGATATCCCATCAACATCCTTACATATGATCAACAAAAGACTGATCTGCCTTGTTCCTGTCAACCAAGCTTCCTACGAGTGACTAAAACTAATAGTATAGCGATCTACACCTAATAAGGACTCTAAATCATGAATCAAATGATTAAACACTCATATGTCTTTGTTAAATTATGATAATAAGGCATGGTTAATGAAAACATTGGCAAAATCATTCGGACAAGAGTGGACAGAGCATTAATTGGAAAAGTGGAAAACTGTCGAGCGAAAATTTTGGAAGAAGAAGCTTAAACATTGTGAGGAGGGGAAATTACATGAAAATTTTCCTACGAACGCATTTTAACCTAATGAGATTACCCTTTCGCACTAAAAACGGTTTTCAGAGTAGATTATTTCGAAAACATTCGTGTGGGTAAACGAAAGCGGAGGTAAATGTATTCGAAATACAAATGACAGGGTGGTACAATATATTTGTTCTCCTATAAGTATGAAAGCTTAGCTACGATAACATATTATTGTAAAGCCGTGATATACTCCAGTATAATCTAAATCTAGAAAAGCCTGGTCTGGCTGGCCGAAATATTATTTTGAATGATATTTTGATACCTCACTATTCAGTTTTCATATTTGGCTGATGGGGTCTCCTGTGAGGTACAACTTACAACCAAGCAGGATCTTTGTTCGCAGTTTTGGAAGTTTATCAGTTTCAAATCGTTTGTTTTCCTTCTTTAAGTAGAACTTGTGGACGAAGAAGAAGCGAGTGAACCCTTAATTAGTTATCAAATACGAAGAACCGGAAATCTTACGCTAACATAACTTTACACGTCATATCCTTTGAGCGCAAAGGTAATCAGCAATATGAAAATGTTCGTGTGGGAAACGTAAAACGTCGCCAAAGAAGAAAAGATGCAACGAAATAAGTAAACAAGCTTACTTTGACGACTTGTTGTGTCCATGTGACGTCTGTTTGAGGCGATCCGATCCAGGGCTTAGTTTTCGATCTTGTCTTTACCTTCTTACAAACTAGCTCCATCTCTTTGACACACTGCATTGACGTCAGTTTTTTTTTTTTATCAGTTCATGACTATCAGGCCATTCTTGCATAAGACACGAGGCAAAGACGTAGCGAAGTCGGAAATGCGCTAATTTGGTGATGCAACCCATGTCTGAACTGTCAATATCCTCTAAACCGTTGCCATAATTTGCAGCGACTCGCTAACACTGGTTAAAAATTGCTTTAAGCTAGATCGAAAATTAAGTGAAGCATATTTAAAGCTCGAGTTCTTTCTGCTTTTAAAGCCAAGAACTGGTTAGTAACGTTCACATCGAAATAAAAAAAGGAAGAAGTATATCGAATTACTTATCACACCAAAGGGGTTTTTCCCTCCAATATGCTTGAATGACCTTTGCATGCGTACTGAAGCAAAACCGCCCGCACCTAAGGCACCGAAGATTGTTCGAGAAAGCTTTCCAGCAACGGGACTATACCGTACAATGTTTTTTTATTCATTTTTCTGAAGTTTTCTTTTATGCACGAGGCAGCCTTACTAAAAAGGTCTTGTTGTCAAAAGTAGTTACCCATTTCATTTTTCTTCCGTGGTGGACACTGATTACACAAGTGATGACTAAGCATCTCGGTTGCGTGGGAGTTATTCTCATAAAACAACCTGTATTACGTGATCTTAAAGAGAAATATTTCTTGAAAAATTTGAAAATCGGATTGAAAACCACATAGGTTACTGAAAATAAATAAGGACTTCCTTTTCAAGATAATATTGTGAATTATTAGTGATCTGAAACTATGCAAACGAAGCAAATTTATTCGCGGATGTGATAAATGTTGTCATTTAAACGGTAGAGGGAAAAACGATATCATTTCATTGATTAATTGAAATTAGTCAAGAAAAGTGGTATATGATGAAATACCATGATTAAAGGTTATCTGAATGTTTTTCCACGTTTCGTGACAGCTTCTATCGAGCTACAACCGGAGATTGCAAACCTTGCATGAGATGTTGTGCTGACAGAAAAGACGAAGATGTAGAGAAACAATTAAAATTTTGCAACTAGAATATGTTTAGAATCATGTGGGCTATTTTCACACCATACCCCTCTCTTTAAATTAGGCATATGACCATTTCCTCGAATTTAAAGTTGCTTTAGCTCAGGTCATTTATAGAAACTCTTTAGCTTAAGTCTATCCTTTCTTCTGAGAAATTAAATGAAATCATCGATTTTGGCGGATGGACAGGTTGGCATTTGTTCTATTCGTAGACCTAAGTGTAATCTCCCTTCAGATATACAGTAGAAAAGAAGAAGAACTTACACTTTTTTAGTTTTAATAAGCCTACATGTTTGCTTCCTTTACAGCAACCTAAGTGGTACGTAATCAGCCTCCAAGTCCTCCGATTGTGACTGGGAATGACTCTCCTAAATTGCAAATCGTATGAACTCCTTAACTTCCATAGCCAAGTGAACAGGAGGAGATATCTACAATCATCGGTCACTTACCGCAAAAAATCAACCGGAAGTCAGTTAACGCTGAGTAATCTCTCACAACAGATTTCCGTCAGAGGTGCTGCTTCTAGTTGTCTTCAAAAGGGAGCTAGACATAGAAACAAACATTGCTTATGCTTCGGTTAATCTCACTCAAGATTCTATCTAAGGGGCCATTATTTATCGCCGGGAAAAGGGGGGCTAGGGGGAAATGGTTGTTTCACAATAAAATTTACTAGGGGCCCCCACGAGGCTCTGTAATATTTTTATGGTTTTTCCCCACCTCACCCCACCTCATCGGAAATTAATTGGCAGTCGATTTTCTATAGTCTCCCCTATACATTCTGTTGGACACGACTGATCCCCCCGACCTCCCCCCCTATCCTCCGCCCCTTCCCCCTCCTCAGGGGATACATAATGACTGGTCCCTGACGAAAAACCTGACTGAAACCCATGGATAAAATGTTAGCATATTTTAACTCAACATTATATTTATACAAGAAGAGGAAAATAAAGTTATTTGGATTAGACTACAGTATTAGCTCATGTTTATTTTCTAATCCTATGTTAGTTATGTTAGTGAGCTATTTGCAAATGTGACGAAATTTGGCACCGAGCTTCTCTTTAGGGTGTTAACAAGGCGTGAAGGAGGGCTCACTCGGGATGCTTTTTCACTCGTTAGGACTCAAAATTACATAATTTATGGTAGCCTTTATAACACATAAGATACATTGTGGATCAGATATGGGAGGCTACGATCGGCGACAGAATTTTTGTCACATTACCAGTGGGACCACATTCATTGTCTGGAAGAGCTCATCAATTACATCCCTTATATGATCCTGTATCTTCCTAATAGAAGTGGCATGAATGATGCTTATGATATGTGTCAAACAGTTTTGTCGCGGATTGTTGTGCTTGAATTATATGTATAAGTAAGCCCTGATTTACGAAAGTCCATAAGGGATCAGGTGCAATCCCAAAATGCTTTTGAAATTCAAAAAATTTTTTAATCGTAAAAACAGGATTTTTTTTAATAAAAATCCTGTTTGAAAAGATATACGATCTAAACAACATTTACAAATCTTGAACACAAGAATAAATTAAAAGGTTTTTGGGATTTCCCCTTATCGGCTTCCGTATGATTAGAGGTGTTTATTGCAGACTTTGAGATTCTTCGTGTGGAAACAAGTTTTTGCTTTCAACGCAACAGAGGCCTCTTCCTGTCCAAGGTGCTGCCTGATGTGGGTTTGGGCCGCGTTGTTCAAAACACGATAAACCTAACCGATGGTTAGCCAACAATTTTTCATCTAGCTTTGCAGCTTTGTAGTCAGTTTTAATTGCGCATATTTTTTCCTCCAGTGTTGTCTCACGTTAGAGCTAAGGTGAAATCCCTGAATTAAAATTCTCGCTTGTAAAATTGGTTGCTCAAAGATACTCTCTGGATAATTTGTAAGAGAACCTTTCTTGCTCTGAAGAATTAAGACTAAACCTATTGACACTTCACTAAATGATACCTGAATACAAAGATAAATCAAAATCTGTAATACAGAACCAATTGCATGGTTCTGTGCTTGCTAGTCTATGTCAATCCCATCCCTCTCAGAATTTTATTAGGAGGCAGCCTGGAAATTACCAATTCTCCAATTAGAGTTTTGCTCACATTGACGTCCTATTTTGCTTCACCCTCCTAACCTTGTTTCTTAGGAAGGATCATGGAACAGAATGAAATTTTGAAAGGTTTAAGAGGTCCAAAATACACATTTGAAAGCCAGTGATGACAAATAATATTCAGTCAGCTTTCACCCAATTAAATCATGTTCTCTAATTCTTGTAACACTGTTAAAATCTTAACCTTGCATTAATCGTCTTTTTTTTCCCTTGGTGTCTTGTAAACAATCCTGGACATTAATAAGCAGTGTAAAAGACATATAATGAGTCACAGTGGAAACATCATTTCTTCACTAAATGTTGAAAAGTTCCTAGCATTAAATAATTTTCATATAGCTTTAAATTATTATCCCATAGCTTATTAAATTTAAGAGTGATTTTCAAGTAAGCATTTAAAAAATTAAACAAAGAAGATTGCATGATACAAATCCCTAATAAAGTAAATTTTAAGTAAAAATAGAGGTCAGAAATTCTCATTAATAACCACCTCTCATTAATTCACACATCAATTAAATCAGAAAGACAGCTTTTGATGCCTAAAGTTAACCCAAACACTTTGTCTCTAATGTGTAGTTCTTAATCTTAAGGCAATAGTTATGTATCAATTAAATTATCTATACCATACCATTTTTAAGAACAAAATACCAGAAAGGTTCATGGTTTAACAAAATTAAGATATCATTCAAAAATACTATTTGAGATACATATATTGTTTTCTTTAAATATATGTTTAACTTGAATTGGTTTAATGCAGCTCCAGTCTGCCATGACTAATTTAGTAAACCATGCCATGTCATAATCTCATTTCTGTTGTTGCCACAGCAACTGTCAAATATTTTGTACACCAATATGAACGCTGAATTTGCTGCCATTACTCCATCCTTAGGAAATAAAAATAAATGACCGCATAAAAACTGCAAATTTTACAATCTTTGTTGTAAAGATGCTTGTTAATTTATCCCAGTTAGCATCTTGTTAAGTAAAGCCATACTCACTTATATGCTGTAATAGCTATATTAAGCAATTACGTACTTGTCTTGTGTTTTAAGTTAAACTGCTTCACAAAACGTACACAATAACTTCATGCATAGAAACATCAATATTTTATCAACAATACTATTCTTCTGGGTACAGAAATTCCCATTGTATTGTGCATGCACTGTATGTGGGTTTTTTGTTTGTTACTCTTTTTTGCTTTACTGGAGTTTTGCATCTGTTAGAGGATTTTGGGTTGAAACTCAAAATGAGTATGCTTCTGTTTGTCCTATGAGCCTTTAAAGGTCAACTGTATAAAAGTGTACATGTATGTAACAATTTTACCAGCATTGTGGTAGCCAACTATAGCTAGTGTGCTTATAGCCTCAAGCAGCCAGAAGCTTCCACAGAGAACTTCATCTTTGAACCCTGGGATACATAGCTTATAGTGGCCACACTACGTCTAATAATATTTATTATCCCTCAACTTGTTCATCCTTGTCCGAGTCTATTTTGTAAGAAACCATTGTGTCTACTGCACTTAAAGCATAATGCAATCATGCCTTCATTCAGATTCTCAGAATTTTTCTCACTTTCCCCTGTCTTGTTCTGTCTGAGAATTTTGTTTGAAATATTTTGATTGGTTCTGATGCTATTGAGGGAGAAACTAGGTGCACGTCTGTAAAAAATTCATTATCATTCAAAAATACTATTTGAGATAAATATCACGTATTCTTTCCTTTCTCCCTTAATGTTCTGTTGAGGCCCATGGCCTGTTGCAGATGTATTTTGCAATGTCATTTCTTCCACAATTTTTGAGGGCTTGAACAAATTCCCTCATTGTAGGCTCCTTTACAGAAGTTTTTAATGTTTCAAGTAGACATGCTGTGGGACTTCTTGTGTCAGCTTCTATCAAGTTTAAAGTATCAGGATAAACTTTCAGCTCTCTTCCAATGCTGCGCCATGTTTTGTGAGTATGGGACTCCAGGGCATCAAGTTTTTTTTGAACATAATTGAACAAGTTACCATTCTTATCACAAAACATTTCCATACCAGAGACAAGAACATCTATGAGACAGAGAGGAAAGGAAGTTAATAAATATTTGAAATTATTTGGGGCATGTTTGTTTCGAGAAGAACATTGCTCGCGTGACATTTGCGTTACGTTTAAAAGTTTATTTAGCTTAATATTTCACTTTTTCTTTTCACTTATTGATCACATTGATTGACATTGAAATATGAGTAAGTTGATGGTTTTTAGTTAGTTTTTACATGTGTCGTGTCAGAGGTATGAATCAGGATAGCTTTCCTGTTTTTAATGGTTACACAGTTCAGTTTAACTCTGGAATCCCGTCACGAAGTAAGTCAGTTGTTTTAAGTCGTTTTTGGTTTTCTTAGGCTTTGTTACATTCAATTATTCGCGTTGATTTCTGTTGGTGTAATTTCTGTAAGACCGCATGTAATTAGCGGTTAAATCTGTTCGTGTTTTTAAGATTATATGATGTACTTAGGTCTCTTATTTTTGGTTAGGTTCTGTTGTTTAGGAATGTTATTTATTTTATTATTTCAGATCGAATAAAATTCTTGTAAAATTCATACGATTCGGGATTGTTCAGAGTCACGTAATTTGGTTTTCATCCGACGGACCAATGTTCACTTCACAATTTTGAGGTGTGTGCATTTCACATCCACAAGTTTTCAGATTTGGGGACATTTGTGTGGAATCACTTATAATAAATTATGCAGTTTTTATGAATTACAGGGAGGTGCCAGGATATTAACTGTATTTATGTATTGATGTATGGATAAATGGTTGGTCAAAGTCATCTTCCATTTTAGTTGCATGGGTTTTTATCATGTTATCATTGCAATACAAGTATCGGCATGTACTGTTTTCATCACCTTATATTAAGATTTACAACCTTGGAGTGAGGCTTTTGCTATTATGACTATAAATTATTATCACCTGCAGGAATATTTTCTACATTCATGTCATCCTCCCCTTGAGCATCACTGGCATGAGAAGAAACCTCATTTCTTGATATGTTGTTATCTAAAAAGATAATTGTTGATGGATATTATTTTTACGTATTATTTTAAGAAAATCATTAGTAAGCAAAAAACAAAATGCAGGCCTTTTTTAATTATTGTTTAGAACATTTCATAGAATGTGCAACCTTTCGGTTAATTTACTGGAAGGTAATTGTAGGAATACTAAGATATATAGAGAAAAAAATTGAAAAGAAAAACTGTCATAATGCAATAGTCCATTTTACAGTTGTGTGCTTGGTTGCCAAGCCTTCGAACATGAGTGAGGATAAGGGTGACGTTGTTATGATACAAAGTAAACCTTGCTGCTTTCAAATGTAAATTAATTACTTTGTTATCATACCAACTACCAGTAGATACTGGTCTCTATCACAACATGGTCACCTTCAGCCTCACTCCAATCAAAGGCTTGGCAATGAAGTACACAATTGTAAAATGGCCTATTCGACTCAATTGTACCTGTAGGAATGTCCACTGATGCCAGTGTTAAAAGAGGTTCTGTGGCATTATCTTCAAGAGCAGGATCACGCAAATCCTCTAATGAAAAAAATGAAAAAAGCATAAAAACTTGAAGCTCTTTCTCTTAATTTCTCTGATGCAATTAACATGTTCTCGATCCACACAATTTTGATATTTGAACCAGCCACCAGGTAATGAGAATTCAAACTTTGTCGGCAGCTAAAGAAAATACTCCTGGCTTCCTGATTTCTAGGGGCTGGAATAAACAGATGCCACTATAGAAGGGAGAATTTAAAATGAATCAGATCTTAGAGTTTAAGAAGTCAATATTTAGACTGCATTAATTGATAAAGCCACAATTTCTGGTAATACAATGATAACTGTTGCACTGCGACAAAAAAATGAAATTTTTGGTTCAAATATTTATGCTAATTGTATAAAAGCAATACGTGATACACACATCTTTTTGATTTAAGGTGAAATTACCAATTCAGGTCATGAAAATTAAATGAAGCCAGGTTTGGATAGCTGATCAAAGGGTGACTGCTGCTTGGTTTATGCTAAATGAGGTGTCATGATAGACTTTTATTATACTGAGTAGCAAACTAAATCTCTAGTTTGAGAGAGTTTAACTAAAATTTATTCTCGTTATCTCTTCACCATATTCCCACAAACAGTGTGGCTCCATTATCCGCATATATAAACACACAACCTACAATTCTTCCAATCAATCTGAGGAAGGGCTAATGCTTGAAATGTCAGCTTTTATACTCTTTATGGTGGCCAATTTACATTTGTAACTTATTTCATGTTATTAATTATTACCCTGTTGTACTCTCCCACCGACGTAGCATGGCAATTTCACCAGAAACTTAACCCCTTTCAATCCCCAGAATTAGGAAAAAATTGCAAAACAATCCTTACTGTTTTTGTTTTTTTGTTTTTGTAAGATGACGCTAACCTATCCTATGTTGAATTCAAACTTTGAAATACCTTGTGTTGAAGAGCTACTAATTGTGGCTCGTGATGAACCCTCACTTTCATCAATATCAGTCAGTGGAATATTTTCCTCTGCAATATCTAAAAATTGAATGTTTTGAGTTAATTGCAATTATTGACCAGGCATGCACTGCATGTATATAGACTTCTGCAAAAATATAAACAGGAGAGCTAAAATTAATTGTTAAATAAACTTAAAGTTACAATCACCAAAATTAAAATCTTAATAGAGTTTTATGAATAAATTCAGTCTGTTACAAGGATTAAGATCTTAACCCTCTCACTCCCAGATCTCATAATGTATTCACCTTACTGTCTTGGTCATTCCTTGCCCTGTAGTTAGAGGGTTAAATGTTTGAGATGTGGGCTTATTGTCAAATTGAGAGATGCCTTTACTGAAATAGTTGAAAAGGCAAAATTTAGGTAGAAGAGGGTGAATATGTGATCTAAAATAAAATATTCTAATTTGGGGAATGTTAAGAATTGACTGCTTTCCCAAACTACTGGGTAACTTAAATCTCTTGACATAAAACTGGATGTTAATTTTTTTTTATCAGTTTCAGGTAAGCTGTTCACTCCCATGATCTCATTTGTAATTCTTCTTACTGTCTGTCATACAATTCTCCAGGAGTGATATTGGAGAAATTGGTAATTGATCAATAAATAATCCTCTAATTTATATTTTGCTTTATTCTCATCACTTGTCTGCTTCATTTTGTGATGATATTGTGGGAAGAGATTATGTTCAGGTTAGTTGTGGGAGTTAAAGGTTGAGGTTTTCCTGCTATCAGTTCCTTGATGACAAGATCAGAGGACTTGCCACCAGGATTTTTGACCATATAAGTATTAAAATCCTACCTCTTGGCTCTCCATCTCTCTTTGAAGTGCTGTGATCTTGCCCTTTCTTGCAGACAATCACCAGCACTATGATAGTCACAACAATCACTACAGCTATTAAAACATAGATAGCTATTAAAAGTGCTTTGTGGTCCTGTTGAAGCTGAACTTCCTTTGTTGACCACACATATGGAGAGTTATTAGTTCCCTTCAGTGATGTCCCTTGTGAAGGGGTATTATCAACAGCTGTTGATGGAAATTTTGGCTGACTGCTGTTTATATCGATAGAATCACTTGAGGCAGTAGTGGTAACATCTTGAGCTTCTCTTTTATGTGGTGTTTCAGTTGTTTCTTTGTCACTGGTTTTCAGTTTGACAGTTTTTGTGGAATGTGTTGAAATAGTTGTGGACATCTCTGATTCTGGCTCTTCCACACAGTCATCAAATGTATTATCAAAATCATACCCTTTAGGACATGTTTTCCCACACTCACGGTTCTGGTTGATTGTGCATTCCTGAATCACATTCCTAACACCACAATCTTGACATGTTTTGCAGTGTCCTTTTCCATGGTCATCAGAGTAAGTTTTGTTGGGCTCACAAAATACACACTCAATTTTTGAGCTATTTGACACCCTAGATCCACAGGGAAATGACAACCCCTGTCCAATGGGACAGTTTGCACAAGGAACACAGTCCACTATTTCACCATTGGGACCATACCGTGCAATGTTTTTCGACAGAGGACAAGGTATGGGTCTACATTTTACCGGAGACTGCAGCCATAGTAACCAAAGTAGTGTTATCTAAGGGAAAGAAAAAGAAGAACTATTAATCCATTTTGAGCATGATTCTAGAAAATATCTATAACAAAATTCTTGATGCAGTTGGACATAAAGATGAAAAAGCCACATCGTTAGGAGGGGTTAAATTGTTACACTATTCCTTTTTCAATAGGCCATTTCCAAATTACCTTTTGCCTCTTTTCCAAAATAAGGCATCATACTCAATCATTCATATGCAAATGAATTTATTTTGCATAGGAATGAAAAGTTATAATCATATGAAAGGATGAGCACCAGGTCTTGCTTTGAAAAAGAGGCCAAAGGTGATTTGGAAATGGGCAACTGCTATAACCATTTACTGTTCATCCCTTTGGTAGGACTTTAACCTGAAGTACAAATTATTTCATATAAATACATTTTCATAGATGTATCTCAAGCTTATAGACAATTTAAAGTCATGATTGTATTCACTTAAGTGGAATAGGGATGCTGGTTTCAGAGAAGGCTTTCAATGCCTTCATTATAATATACCCTCTGAAGATTATACAATAATTTTGAAAGATGAAATTTCTTAGTATGACAAGAATGACCTAACCAAAGTGGAATTTATGTCTTCGGATGCCCCTATAATGGATATTTAGAGCCTGTTTACACGAAAGTGAGGAACCCCAGGTAGTTGAGGTAACCCACTTGTCCATATAATCTATTATTTTATCTTGATCGCGTTTACATGATAGGTGGGGTGACCCACCTAGGCGCGTTGCCGGTGTTGTGTTCATGTTACTAAAAGATCAAATGAGCCAAACAATTGCGAAACACGAGAGTGTCAAAACTTTGTACATCTCCTACCCGTCCCATACAAAGCTAAAACGTTAAGACACCATTTCTTTAGTCCATTCACATATTACGCCGAAGTGAAGACATGGTACGGTTGACGCATCGAGCTATTGGCGAAAATTTTAGAGCAAAATACATCACGTTTTTTCGGCAAAGTTTTCCCACAAGTCGCCGTAGTGACATCTTTAACTCTGTAATTACAAGTGCGATGACAACCTCGAGAATCCCGGGCTTGTAAGGTTGTCTGTAAACGCGGGTTATTTTTCGACCACGGCAAGGCGGGTTACTTCACCTATGTAAACAGGCCCTAAGGAGGGTCGTGGTAGTTTGGCTTTTCAACAGGTTCATAACACAAACATTCTGTACAATGACCAGGTTTCTATGTCGAACTCGAATGTATTCTTTTGCGCGACGATGAAATATATGACCAAAAATTTGAATAGTACACAAATCCCCTCTTACCTTGAGCTCGATGTCGCTCTTCATACCATATGAGAGAAAACTGTAAGAGAAACAAACGTGAAAGATTGATCGAAAATTGTCCACAGGTTGCTAGCGGTATGAATAGCCAGTCCACTAAAATAAATGCATACAAAAAAGGGAATCGACTCGATCGGGAAGAACGGCAAAAAGAGGGATTTAGGCCACACCACTGCTTACCCATTCTAGCCCGCTTGGATACTGAAATTAAGGTTTCTTCTTGTTGAATAGAGAAAATCTGTGGTAATTAAAACCCTTTCCAAGTTGATTTATTGTATTCCGCTGACGATCTTAATGATAGAAGCGCACGGGAAAGTGATGGTGCAACTAATAACGCGTGGAGCTTTTTCGGCAGGCAAGGAAGACTGGGGGATTTCCCTAAGCAGATGAGTCACAGACGTCACGAATGCGACTAGTAAATTTTCTGTTGACTTTTCAACGAATGTACGTGCGTTCACCCGTGACCATTGATGACTCAAGGTTGTCTGGTATGCTAAACGATCTACATTTAGCTCTTGATGGGTGACAATTGATGCAGACGTGAAAATTTCAAACAAAAATATGAAAAAACAAACAAATAGAGAAGAGAATTATCCGGGCCCCGTTTTGATTGATTTACTATGTGCAACGAATCTTCGTCGCCCCTCAAATATTAGCAATTTAAATAATGGTCGAAACATTGCGATCTTCAATTGACGTCTTGAATTTACAATTGACAGTGACGCTTGAATTATTAGTGGGACGATTTAGCATCCTTTATTATCATCATGGTCAACAAAGATATCCCAACAACATCCTTGCATATGATCAACAAAAGACTGATCTGCCTTGTTCCTGTCAAGCAAGCTTCCTACGAGTGACTAAAACTAATAGTATAGTGATCTACACTTAATAGGGACTCTAAATCATGAAACAAATGATTAAACACTTGTAAGTCTTCGTCAAATTATGATAATAAGGCATAGTTAGTGAAAACATTAGCAAAATTATTCGGACAAGAGTGAAGGAGCATTAATTAGAAAAGTGGACAACTGTCGAGCGAAATTTAAGAAGCTTAAACATTCTAAGGAAGGGAAATTGCATGAAAATTTTCCAATATTATATACAAAATTTTTCAAACACCGAGAACGCATTTTAACCTGGTGAGATTAGCCTTTCACACTAAAACGGTCTTCAGAGTAGACTTTTCGAAAACACTCGTGTGGGCAAACGAAAGCGGAAGTAAATGTATTCGAAATACAAATGACAGGGTGGTATAATATATTTGTTCTCCTATGGGTATTAAAGCTTAATTAGCTACGATAACATAGTATTGTAAAGCCGTGATATACTCCAGTATTATCTAAATCTGAAAAAGCCAGGTCTGCCTGGCCGAAATATTGTTTTGAATAATATCTTGATATCTCACCGTTCACTTCACAAGTTTGGCTAATGGGGTCTCCTGTGAGGTACAACTTATAACCAAGCTGGATCTTTGTTCGCAGTTTTGGGAGTTTATCAGTTTCAAATCGTTTGTTTCCCTTCGTTAAGTAGAACTTGTGAACGAAGTTTATTAGTTATCAAATACAAAGAACCGGAAATCTTTATACGTCACAACATTGGCGGTTGAAAATCTCAATTTTAGCGCTGAGGTAATCAGCCATATGAAGATGTTTGTGTGGAAAACGTAAAACATCGCCAAAGAAGATGGAGAGATACAACGAAATAAGTAAACAAGCTTACTTTGACAACATTTTGTGTCCTTGCGACGTCTGTTTGAGGCGCGATCCAGGGCTGAACGTTCCATCGCGTCTTTACCTTCGTACAAAATGAATCTATCTTTTTGACAGACTGCATTAATGTCAGTTTTCTGATGTCAGTTCATGTATTAGTCCATTCTTACACTAAGTCACGAGGTAAAGAAATAGCGGAGTCGGGTAGCGCTATTTTGGTTATGCAACCCATGTCTGATCTGAACTGTCAATTTCCTCGAAATGCGGTGACTCGAAACATTGTTGAAAAATTGCCTTAGGCTAAATTGGAGAGTAAGTGAAGCATATTTAGAGCTCGATTTCTTTCTGTTTGAGAGCCAAGAACTGGTGTAAGTGATGTTCACATCGAATCGAAAAGAAGGAAGCATATCAAATTACTTAAGTTACAAGTTATCTCTTAGGGGTTTTTCCCTTCGAGACCATCAAGACGCTCGCGCCTGAGTGACCTTCGTATGCATATTTTAGCAAAACGAGCCGCATCTAGGGCACTGAAGATTGTTCGAGAAAGCTTTCCAGCAACAGGTATTTAATCTTAACATTCAATTTCTCGAAGTTTGCTTGTGTGCACAAGGTAGCTTTACTGAGAAGGTCTTGTTCTAAAAATTAATCACTTATCTCATTTTTCTTACGTGGTGGACACTGATTAAAAAACTGATGACTAAGCACATTGGATGTGGGGGAAATATTCCCATAAAACAACCTTTCTTACGTGATTTTAGAGAGGAATATTTCTTTCGAAATTTGAAACTAGGATTTAAAACCACAGAGGCGACGGAAAAAGAAATACGGACTTCCGTTTCTAGATAACATTGTGAATTATTTGTGATCAGAAATTATGCAAACGAAGCAAATTTAATTCGCGGATTTCATAAATGTGTTCGTTTTAACGGTAGAGGAAAAATATGATACATTTTCATTGGATAATTCGAGTCAGTCAAGAAAAGTGGCGGTGGAATCAATGATAAACAAGGGCTACATAACAAAGAAGTCGAATAAAGTGAATTTTGTTGGGAAATTTTTTTACATACTTGCGTGGGCTGTTGTCTTGTGTCGGAAATATTCCCTTAAAACAATCTGTCTTACGTGATTTTAAAAGAGAAATATTTCTTTCGAAATTTGAAACTCGGATTGAAAAACACACATACGCCAAAGAAAAAGAAATAAGAACTTCCGTTTCAATATAATATTATGAGTTATTTGTGATCAGAAATTATGTAAACGAAGCTAGTTTAATTCGCGGATTTCATGAATGTGCTCATTCTAACGGTAGAGGAAAAAAATAAAATGATTAATTCGAGTTAGACAAGAAAAGTGGCTGTGGAATTAATGATGAACAAGGGCTATATAACAAAGAAGTCGGATAAAGGGAGTTTTCTTAGGAAATTTTAGGCATTATTGCGTGGGCTGTTGCATTTTAGGTACGCTATGGTTGGATTTGAAATATGTACAACAAAGCTGCTAAGATATAACGTTTATGGTGGCTAAAAGCAATCACAGATGAAAGAAATTTTCAGTACTAAAACTATTCAGAAATAATGACATTTCTGCATGTTTTTGCAAAGCAGGTCAAGGTACATGGCACAGCCTGTCATGTCTGCTCAGATGAACACTGATTTATTTATGCTGATTAGCATCTGTACGGTTTATATGGTGCGTACGTAAATTATGTTTTAACTATTTTTATGAAAATTCATTTGATTGTAGGTATATCTTTGTATTATATTCATTGTTCTGTGGAAAATACTGAGTATAAAAAACTGAGTTACTGCGGGCGTCGTATAATTATATTTAACTTTCCGTAAAGCTAATAAAGAAGTAGCATAGTCAGCATATTAGGTCAGGTGCTGTTATTCGATTCGATAGTTTACGAACTTGCAATACTGTTTTCTGACAGAAACTTAAACAGTGGGTGATCTAATGCAGCGAGTATTACAAACCTCCTCCTCCTATCAAAGTGCGGTTAATTTCACTTTCGAAAGAGCAATCGAAAACAAAGGTTTGATGACACTTTAATTGTCTTCGAGGAAAAAGGGAAAATACCTCCCAAGTCGACTCGATTGTCACTGGTTGAGAACTTAATCAATCAAACTTCCAAAATAAACAATGAAGATCCGAAGATCAGATTATCTATGGACAAAAACTGAAGAAACATGCATGGGAATGAAAAAAAATTGGATAGTCCATATCTCTGAACGAACACAAACTTAGACTTTTTTTTCAGAATATTTTCTTCTCACGTGAAATACTCGTGTCCCTTCAAATATCAAATCCGGTTATCATGGTTAGGTTTAAAAATATCACCTGCGTTTGTGGGTTTTGCCGCAGCCTGTTAATTTCGCCTATTTTCCGGGGTTATAGAATAGGAAATGACTGTCAGCGCAGTAATGTACGGAGGACCTTGATCTTGGATAAAACCGTGAAAAATTCCCGCTATTTTAAATTGCATTTGCTTAGCTGAATGATTAATCTGAAAAAACTGCGTCTCCTTCTTAACCAACAAAACGAGAGAGAGTTATGGTTAATTGCAAATTTCAAACTTTATCGAAGAAAATTTAGGCCATGAATCACATTACGCAATGGGTGACAAAGCCATAAAATACTGAGTTATTTGTGGAATCAGAGAAAAAAAGAGGGGAAAAACTCGTACTTGTCAATGTCTGCTTTCTGATTAGCGCAAACTCTTACATTATCAGTTTCCAGTGCAAGTGGCGTGTAGCAGAAGCTGCAGATGGAATCAGCTGACTATCTTGCGTCCCAAGGGAGCCGTATGTTTTCCTTGTCCAGAATGTCCCGAGGGTCAAGGCATGGTCCCGCAGTGTGGCTCGCGTATAACTGCTGACGTCACAGTGGAGTGTGTAAAATGTAAACTTGGCAAATCGTACTCGGATAAGCAAGATATCTCCTCGTGTAAGCCGTGTACCATCTGTGACCCTAACGAAGAAACGATCAGCCCTTGTACTGCCACGAAGAATGCGGTTTGTGGAGAATGCAATGCTGGGTATGTAAGTCATAGCTGAATTTTACCAGAAGAGCGGCATCTAGGATGAAAATCTCTCTCGTCGTTTTTCAGGTTCGAGAAAAGATACTCATTAACTGAGACGTATCGCTAATAAATCATTTTCAGTTTCATTACTTGAAGAGTTTATCCCTACTCCAGACCCTTCAATCATTAGTTGTCAGCAGGAAGACAACTTTCTCAGCTTGTGCCTTATTGTCGTACGTCCCGTTTTCTTATATCGGAAACATGTATGTAAGTTTGGTCATCAAAATAGAGCCTGACTTGAGATTTTTGTTCAACTCTACCTCATCTGTATCGACTGACTTAATCAAATCTTCCTTTAATATTTGTGCCCGCTAGGATTATTCACAGGACAGATGTGAAGCGCATTTTTGATGAAAAACCAATCTTAAAGGCTGATTTCATTTTCAACTTTTCATATAACAGCTTCTATAGAGCTACAACTGGAGATTGCAAACCTTGCATGAGATGTTGTGCTGATAGTAAGGACGAAGATATAGAGAAACAGTGCAAAGCACAGACCAACCTCCCAGCAAACCAAATATGTCGATATGATGTTGACACCATCAAATGCGCGCCTACAGCATACAGGACAACCGCGCCTGCTGTGTTGGTATCCACGGCACCTGTAATGTCACAAGACATGATGGCTGCCCGAACTAAAGAGGGAAAGAGTGGTAGCACCCTGTTGTTCATTTCGTTTGCAAGCTGTCTTGCTTTCTTTGTGTGTCTTTTACTTGCAGTGATGTTGGCTTTTTATTACAAAAAGAAAAAACTGTCCTCGCTTTGGTGCTCCGGACATATAGGCCGTGTGATTACAACTCGTAAGTATTCAAGGGCGAGAGAATCTCATATATAAGCCTATAAGACTTTTTTCTGTTAAAAATGATTTCTGCACTAGCGCGGACCTCTCTCCCTTTTCTTTACAAAAATCGTGAGTTTTGAGCCTAGAAAATCATTTATTCATACTTTTATACTCATCCCTCTAAATTATGAGTATCTCCCTCGCCTGGGATCTAATTTAGTCTTATTTTAGTCAATAAACAAAAAGGAAAACATAAACTTAAGCTTTTGTACGTCGTTGCCTCCAGAGTATTAGAGGAAACCGTCAATTTCGGCGGATGTTTCAGCTAACTTGTATCTTGCTAGTTTACTTGTGCAACCAAGGGTAGTCTCCCTTGAATTGCACGGTGTAATAAATCTGATACTGCACCTCTGATCTTGATCTCTGCATCTCTTACAGCAACACAAGCGGATTGCAATCAGCCTTTGACTACCAAGGTTGTGTTTGGGAATGAAAAAGCGTGTGTATGAACTTACGATTTCCCTTTCCCCTCAGCTTTCCTAGCCAAGTACACTTGAAGGAATGAGATAACCTCCTGACATTATACCTTTACGACTCTTCAATGTACCAAGTTGTGTTAATGTTCCACTCATACGGTGTAGACTGCTGATATTCTTCGTGGTCAGTTATATTGACTAAGAGAACGCTTCACACGTTAAAAAAAATTTCAGCTTAATCAATTAAATTTCCGTCGGAAAGACTGCCTTTCACCTCCGGTGGAGACCACGTTTTGCAAAGAATAGAGTTAGACTGGGTGACATTTAGGGCTTAAATCTAACTTGACTTCGCTCAAGGAATTCCTAGAATTCGCGGTCACAGTAAAGCGAATATACTATAAATGAGTGTCAGTTAAAGTCTGTTTTGTTTGAAATCACTTTTTTATTGTGTGAAATATATATTACTGTTTATTTCTGTCCCATTACACTTATGGCCAATATTCACAAAATGCAGACGATATCTATTGGTAAATATGTTCCCATGGGAAAAACCCTATCATAATATATTAACGTGTTTTTGTGTGCGACGAATTGACATTAGAGCTTTCATTCACAAACGGTTATTGACGGCATAAACTAAATTGAAAAAATAACTTAATATCTTTACAATTCTGGATAACACATTCATAGATAAAGTATATAAGAATAAGTTAATAACCTGCAAAACTAGTAATTTTCATGTTTGACCCATAGAATAAATTAAGCTATCGAAACCAATTTCACTCCCTTAAAAAGTCGTACAATCATGACCTCATGAATCTTTAAAATAACTCTTATATGGTTCACTATCTTTAACCGCATAGTCTGCATTTGACTTTGGTTTCATTAAATATGACGTTAGTATGTCTCTAAGAAGTTTTGAACGGTCTTTTAACATACGCGAGTGTATTTCTGAATAATTTCACGAAAAGCATGAAGATAAATCCATTTATAAATGAATACGTCTCGGATATAAATTTTAACTCTTCAAATAGACTATTTGAGGGTTTAGTCTGGTAGACAAAAGGTACAATCATCCTGTTCTCAAGCATTTTTTTCTTGTAAACATGGATAACTAAGCCCTTACAACGAAAATGTCTTCCAAAAAGGAATTCAATAAGTTATTTTTCTACGTTTCATCCATAGAGAGCCCAACTTGGACCCAACAGTTTTAATACTTTTCACTTCAGTCTTCGGTTAGGGGACGAGGAAAGGAAGAGGTTTAGGAGGATTTTGATTACGTCATAATAAAATTTACCTGAACCCCCCCCAAGGTCCTGCTTTGTTGCTTATTTTATTCATTGGCAGTCGATTTTCTAGACGATTCCCACCATACTCTGTTGGCGACGACTGATTTCCCCTTTGTTCCCCCTAACAACCATGTGATCCCCTTAAAATCCAAAATCCTCCCTCCACGCCCCAGGCGATGAAAAATGACTCGCCCCACGAGGGTCCTTATAAGTCCTTACTTGCCCCACAAGGGTGCCATAAGGGATTTTAAGAGTCCTTCTCTACAAGGAGCCTAATACTAGATAAACTTTTTCAATCCCATGATCTAAATACCAATTCTCCTCGCTATCTGCAATCCATTTCTAATAATTTTCGTTCTTAAAATTTAATGTCAAATCAAACTATCTCTAAGTTGATGTCTTTCTTTCTTTTCATCACTCTTCTGCTATAAACGTATGTATACTGTGAGGAGAAATTTCTTTTGGGTCACTTAAGAGAGAGAAAGTTTTGAGAGGTAGAAATAATTTCGCTTCATCAACTCGGGTCAATGTAAATTGGCTACGGCAGAGAAATTCCAGAAATGACGTTTCGAGCGTTAGCCCTCCGTTAGAGCGACTGGTTGGCCGATAGCCTGTTACGAGCGTTCAAGTAGTTCAACGAAGCGCGATAGTAAGCGGGGGGAGGAGGAGCGAAAAAATGAGGGAGACTTAGCTCGACGCGACCCAGACCTCCCTCGCTTCTTTTTTATCGCGCCGCATACTGTTTCGCTCCATTTTACTAACTGAACGCCTGGAACAGGCTTGTTAGCCGATTAAAAGCCAGCCTAGTTCCCAGGCATACGAAAAGAACCTGCGCAACAAACATTCATCTTCTGCAACTAATTAAAGCTTAACTTCTCCTCACAGTTTTAGTACGTATCCAGCCCGCAGGTAATGAAAATAGAAAAACAAATCAGCTAAAAGGGCGCCTAGTCCATAAAATAATATGAAGCAGCTAAGCGGAGAGTTCCTATTCGGATCATGGGATTTAAAGATGAAACGTGAACTTCTTCGAAACATTCTTACGGTATAACATAAAACATATCATGTACTCTTGAGTAGAACGTGAAAACCCCCTTTCCAAAAATATCCACGAAAGTACATTTATAGATTGACCTAACATATATTTTCTAATTAAGGTCGACATATTCCAAATAAATACTGCTTTTGAGATGAAATTTTAAACCATATCTTCGATAATTAAAACTCTTTCCTCTCCATGATCTTCAAGACACTTATTTACTGTATTAACAATAATTTTCAATCTTCTGTCGATGGCTTTGAAGTGTGGATCGGAAAGTACCGGTGACACAGGATCATTCTCGGTGGCTTTCCGTAAAAGTTCACTTAGAGACATCTTCCCTCTGGCGATAGATTGAAAGCGGTTCCAAGTGGAAAGGCGAAGTCTAAAAGTGAGGTAAGAAATTACTCAGTCAACCAAGAAAAAATGAGAGGAGAGAGAAGGAGAGAGAGAGCAAAGCTCGAGTTCAGCCTTTAGGATATATCTATGCCCATAAGCTTTTTAAAGACAGTCTCTCGAACAGAAATGTATTTTCTGAGACGTCCGCATTAATGCCAAGAGAGCTCGATTTGATGTTCTGATTGACGACGATATAACAGCCGACAGCACACTTTTTTTGTTCAAAACCACCTCAACAAAAAATTAAATTTAAAAAAGGGGAATTGATATTTCTCTAGCGAAAATTCAAGGAGGTCGGAGACTGAACTCCTTTTTTCGTTTAAAACTAAATGCAACATCAGATGTAACTTACGTGATACTTTCTTTTCATAATGTTGTAGAACTTTTAGCTTTTTAAATATCTTTTTAATGTAAGGCACCATGGACAAATAGTGGATTGAGCGCTATATAAATATTTTATTATTATTATTATTATTATAATTATTATTATTATTATTATTATAATAATTATTATTATTATTATTATTATTATTATTAGCGAAATCAGCAAATCAAAGCAAAAGCGCTGATTGGTCAATTTCTCGAGTTCACTGAGCAGATATACAGCCTGTAGGGCTCTAACAGGGAGAGATAGCAGGAGAAAGAAACTTTATGGGCCTTTGAATGAAACGGTGGTTTATTAACGAGAGAGAAAGAGGTGTTACCACGAGGCCACTTATATTTCTCACACAAATTTAGATATTAATTTCATCTAAGATGCCTCTTTTCCTTCTTACCTGCAACATTGATAGATAGGAGCCAAGATGGACATTTCATCGCGATAAGGATCGCCGAAGCTGAAAGAGGAAGGATAATAAAATTCCCCCTCATTTTAGATCACTTCATGTTAATGTGAAATGGTAAATTATACCACGCGAGCGGAAGAAATAAAACAAAGGTGTATTCCTGGGCTGGCATATTAAGATAACAGCTTAGGCTGGCAACCTTCAGGAATGTCTTTCGCTTTGGATAGGTTGTCACTTGTTACACACTGTTAAGAAATGAAATGGTCAGCTTACTGTGTCTGTTGATTTTGTTTTTCTAAAACAATGATGAACTTATAAAATAAACAGATCAGTGAACGCTCTATAAAGTTCTAACGACTCATCGCAAAACACGTACCTCTTAGCGTTATCCAGATGCAGTGGCATTCCAGTGTCTCCCTCGTCTTTAAAGGTTTCGTAGTGATGCCTGTCTGCATTGCCTGATGAATCATAGAATCGAATCTTTCTAAGTTTTCAATATCGTAAAATATTCAATATTCAATAATTAGAACTCGAACAATTGAAGCTGGAATGGATCATTCTGGAGCAAGGGAAGTAATCACAGAAACAAAATGAGAACTCAAGGTAGATTCATAAAAATGAGGAAAACGCGAATGACCAAGCCAAAATACTTTTAGTTTTTGTATGTGATTAGTTGAAAGAATAGTGCACATTCTCTACTCCAGTTACTGATCAAAATACGCTAAATTAACGCAAACCCTCATTACTTATAGTGCCGCTATAATGCACAATAGCATTACACGGGCTCAACTCACGTGCACTTACCACACACTAAACGCACGAAACACGAACACTGCACGTCACTACACGCACCTACGCGTAACAAAAGATGCTAGACTATGTGCAAAATGCGTGTAAATTACACGAAATCAGTCAACTAGAATTCAGTAAATGCATTTGCTGTGACATAATAGTGTGTAAAAAGACAAAAAGATCTTGCTCTTATTTTGTTGTAAGATTTCTGATGAGCATGAGCGGCACCAAATGCCCACCATTTCCCTCACAGACAATACCAAATGAATACTGTCAGCCAAGAGGTACCTACCGATTAGGAAGTCAAACAGTGCTGTGTCCAAGAGATCTAACAAGCGAGGACCAAAATTATATGGAGGCTTGTTCAATACCTTGTTCTTACAGTAGTTATTGTCAGTCTCCCATCTGTGTAAAGATAACCATCGGTAGGGGTTCAATCCTTTCTCTGTTCAATATGTGTTGAATTCTTGATAGAGAATTGTAAACAACTTTGCCACTAACATGCACTACACTGGTATGTCATTTTTTTTTTATGTATAGATATACAGGTGCAAGAAACCAAAATGACAAGTTTTGCTACTTTTTTTCTTCTTTCAAAGATTTAGATATTTCTATCTCTTCCAATTTCCTGACACCTTTGTCCCCATGAGCTCACCCTCAAGGATCTAACTCCATACCAAAAAGACAAGTTTTTTCCCCAATGGTTTGTTTTTCTGAAAATAGTTAGATGTCTTTATTTCTTTCTATTTCCCAACACTTTTCTCCTCATGACTTCAACAGTCAGTCCTTTGCATACTATAAATCCTTTAAGCCCAAAGAGTGACAACCGTCTAATATTTCTTCACAAAATCACCCCTGAATCATACATTAAGGTCAAGAGAATCAAAGAAATGATCATCAACTAAAGAAGCCTCAGATTGTTAAAAAAATTCTCCTTATAAGCAAGGAAATATATAGAGAACAGTATGGAGAATATGCATACTGATGTTAGGGAGTATACACAAGATGCATCATACAATTCACTCACAGAGCCTTTCTGGCTCCACTGTATGCTCTTATCCAAGGATGAGCCCACTTTCCAAGATTCCATCCTTTTGGTAGCCACAGTGTTACTGAGCCTTCCATAATTGTACCATTGGCACAGGCAGCATTCTTTTTGTTACAGTAGTAGCATCGGCCATAGAAGCAAGTATTTCCATCTGAATGAAAAACAACAATCACCACATCATTTTGATTCATTTAACCCTTCAACCACTATGAGCGACTGGCTTCTAATTTCTCCATACAGTACTACCCTTAAATCAAATTTAAAGGTCATAAGAATAACGAAAATGATCACAAATTTATGATGTTCTTGATTTTCATACAAATTCTCCTTTTCAGTACCAAACAAAGGTATAAAGAACACTATGGAGAATGTGGATACTGATGTTAGGGCATGAAAGGTTACATTAAGTAAGATTTACAGCTGTAGATTGCTAAGTCTTCTGTGATTAACTGATTCATATTTATGGATCATTACGAGATAACATTTTTTTCTGAAATTGTCTTTACAATAATTACTATACTAACAATGCTTATGTTACTTATTATACAAACCCTATTTCTATTTATATCTATCAATACTCAAGTTTAAGAATACTTATGAAGGGATTTTTCTCTTAAACTAGCTTATAACACAAATTATATGAAGCTTACTAGCATTACAAATTTTAAATCAATAATTAGCTTATTCTACATATTAAGCAGTATTTACACTTGGCAAGGAAATTACAATTTATGAGAGGTAGACTAGAGCTTATCAAAGACACAATGCAGATACTTCAGTTATATACATTTTTGAGCTTGAGTTTGTTAACAAAAAAAAAGAAAAGGAAACATGACATGTTTAGAAAATTCCCCTCTCAGTTTCTTTAAATAGTTAAAAGCTGCCTTACCTTTCTTAAAGAATGTGTCCAGAAGCCTCTTGTCTCCAATTGGTTCTATTTCATCTTCTAAGTTTATTTTTCTTCCAACAACTGGTGGTGCCCGGTAGAAACCTAAAATTCTTCAAAAATAAATTGATAGTAAGAAAAATTGATTTTATTGATTGTGTAATCAGAATTTAATCCCTAAATAATCAAGAAAAAATAAATAGCTACCAAAACTCAATTTCCACTAGATTCAAAACTAAACTAAACATCTTTTATTGTTTAATAATTATTATGATAATAATAACAATGGTAACAACATAATTATAATTCATAATTATTACTAATGAAATATTTTTTACTATGATATTTAAATTGTTACTATCATAATTTTCATCATTTGTTTATCACTATCATTAGTTGTTTCTCACTTTTATTTACATAATTTGCCATGAAAAAGTATATTTAGTCATGAGTTTCTGTGTTTGTGTCCAAGATGGATGGCATGAGATAAACATCTCCATACAAAGTGTGTTTAATGTGATGGGGTTTTAGTGGATTATGAGCCAAGATCTGGTTGTCTAGCAACAACTGAATTCAGGAAGTGTATTAATAGGGCTCTCTTATCATAGCATTCTACGACATTTTTATGATTTACCTATCCAAATGAAATGCAGCAATCTCTCCATTGTGTCTATCAAAACCAGCATATGGAGTTCCCTCTACTATAAAATCTCTGGGGTATCTGAAGAAAACAAATTGTAAATCAATCTGACTTTGCTTTATTTTGCCTAGGCCTATTTTAGATGACACTCTCAATATCTAACGCAATATTTAACCTAAGTACATACACGTCTTCATTAACACTTCAGTTGAGAAGCTTTTAACCCTAATGCAAATTAATTTTTCTTCTGATGTTTAGTAGTGTGAGTGTGGTTCCAATCAATGCAAATGACTGATGCACTGGCATCACATTAGTTGGATTACATTGACTACTGTCCTCTTTGAATTAAAACGAACAGCAACAAAAAAATACTACTAAAAATATTACTTAAATAATAAGAAATTAATTTGTAGGTGAGGTGTGACGCTACAAAAGTTCATCCTTGATTTTTGAAATTTGGTGCATGAGAGAAATGTGGGATGGTTACCCCATCTTCGGGATAGCTTCAGGCCTGATCTAGCTGGAGAGACACACGTGATCAAAGCCAAACAAATTTTTCAGTCTGATGCTCAAATGTTCTTCATTCTTCATTGATCACGTATATGAAAAGACCCACTAGCCTTCTAACTCTATTCAGTTCTATTTTAACATACTTTGTATACATAACATTGGTCCCATAGAGCATTTCAAAGTGAGAAAAATAAAGATGTTGATATTGTATTAACATTACCACTCAAGTGAGCCACTTCACAACAAGAATCTATCATTTGAGAGCCATTTTGACCCTATAAAGGGTTTTAATAGTTATTATTATTATTATTATTATTATTATTATTATTATTATTATTATTATTATTATTCAGTGCATGATAGCTTCTCATTCTTACCGCATTGGCTTAAATACTACTCTCTGTTTTCCCTCAAGAGTTAAGGTGGCTTTTAACTGCGTCCCTCTAACGCCAACGTTGGCCGCCACAATCGGTTTATACATCATGCCCTCTAGTATCATATTCACTCCATCTACATCGTCTGGAGACGTTATTTGTCGTGACTTTAGCATGTTTTCCCATATAGACCAGGGATCATCAAATTCGTAGTCTATATCGTTATTTTTTCCAATATTTTTCTCTACTTTCTTTTCACCGTCCTTGTCCTCATGATTCGTAACCGTAGGTGCAGATCTTTTTTCTAGCGATCGATCCACATCTTTTCGGTTCGTTTTGAGATGATTTGTTCCTTCCTCTGATCTTTGTATATTGACATGAGAATGATCAATTCCGTTATAATCCGTTTCATCCGCAAGAAATCGTGAATTCTGACTACTAACAGAAAGCAACAATGGATGCTTTTCGTCCGCCGCGCGCATTCGTAACCAAATGAATGGAATAACGAGAAGAACAATACAAATACAAAACGCAAAACGCTCTTTGAACTTCATAGTTCCAAAATATACACGGTAAAAGACGGATAACGGCCAAAGGTTCAACATTTTTAAGAGCCACCAACCATCGTGTCGATGGTTCTTTTCATATTGGAACGATTTCTACCAGGCGTATGGCATTAGTAATTGATGAAAGTAAACGAGCCCGCATTGTACAGTAACTTTTCACTCTTCGGAGATATTGAAAGATTACTCATGACATATCATCCATAAATATACATATTTAAAGTAATCTGGTTGAAGAAATGCAATTTTATATTCATATCGGCTCTCTTGAAGGGAAATATTCGCAAATTTGTACCTAAATTGATTAGCAAAAGGGTATACTTCATTTTCCTCGTTCCCAGATCACTCCCTTAATCTAAGCTCAGCGGATTTCCCTCGAAGACTAAGTTACAGAAATTCTTGTCGTATTTAAAGCAAAATGGCGGACAAAGTGAAGAGTATTGATGAATGCATTTTAACTGCAAACAACTTAAGAACAACCGTGAGAAAAGTATTTCAAGATCTCGCAGCTTCTCCTGGAGTGAAAAGAGAAAAAGCAGAATCCTCAGAGTCTAGCAAAGGTGAAAATATCACCCGACTTTTAAAGAAGAATCTCACCGAAGTTCACAAGGTTTTAAGGTACGCTCTAGTTAAGACCGATTTATCCCCATAATTTGCAACTGCTGCTGAAAAAATTATTTCATACTCTACAATGTCGCTTAAAAATGTTATTCGAACACAAAGTTGAAAAGAAAACAGATATAACTACAGGGCAGCTTTTGCATTTCCGTAGTGTGTAAAACTTAACATCAATGTCAAACGTCAGACATGCACGAAGGGACTATTCTAGCCAGCTGGGCGCAAATTTCCTGCGCAAAATTTGTAAAGAAAACGTAAAAAAACATAAAGAAGTACCCGCTTTCTACGCAAACAAAGCGAAAGAAAATTAAAACTTTCATTGAAATTTGGGAGCAACTACGCGACTGGACCCGAACAATCGATGAGATCGATGATTGGCGAAAATCGATAACAATGAATCGATTGATATTGATAATCGATAAACAACCGAACGTGAAAGTTTCTGTGATTTTCGTTCTCATCGATTATCGATTATAGTCGATTTTCATCACCAACAGAAAAGAAATACTATGAAAACCAAATTTCAAGTGAACTTCAATCACGTGTACTTGAAGTCTACTCAGATTTATAACAGGAAATGGCATTCTCACATAACAGCACACATCTTGCCACCTAGTGATCACTCTCCTGATGCAGAAGCTAAAAGCAGTTAAGATATTTTGTGGAGAGAAATGTTCTTTCCAATTGCTAATCTGATAGTTGACAAACGCAAATCACTTTCATGTCATTATCGATTCTTAATCGATTGTATGATACCAATTGATAACAATTAACTGATATGCATCTATGGAAACTGATAGATTCATTAGATTTCCAATCATTGATTTTCAATGATTGTTCAGGTCCTGTACGTGACCACTGAGGTCCTCCTTGTTGGCATGCTTTGAAAAATGAGGCAGAACACAAAAGGATGTCACATGTATGTGATTCAATGAGATGTAAATACATGTAAGTGGCCCTGTAAGTAGGATAGAGAACTTGAACCTTTTTTAACACAAAGCTTATTCAAGTACAGGTATCCTGTTGATTTACCAATTCTTATTTTAGCTTTGCCAGATAAGTTCTAGGCTTTCAAATTATCATGACTTATTAGCTTTTGCAGTTGTTTGTAACTAGTGTGAGACAGTGTGGTTCTGACAGTGTAAAAGCTCATCACCTAGTTGTTACAACATTCACACATATGTAGCTGTTTGCTACATGTAGAAAAACTCAAGATTTTAGTTTTGATAAGAAGAGAAAACATAATCATTCTAAATTCCAGTTTAAACAGATTTGGACAGAACTACTGTAATCAAGTTTAATTCTTCAATTCTAAATCAATAAATCTTATCCAGATTTTAAAATTGAGAATATAAGTTAACTTCTTTGCTTAAAACAAGGGCATAAAGTAATTAAAACATCCAAAAATGACAATGATTTTTAAAACAAGTAATTTTGGCATTTTTCTCTTATTTCAAGTGCCTCTTAAGATGATGAAATATACTTACTTACAAAACTTTTTTCCTCAAGTCAAGAAATGCAAAAACAGTAAACTAAGGCCAGTAACAAGGGAATTTAAGGCTGGTTTCTACTGGCCACAGAGTGAGAGTCAGAGTTGTAGTCAGAGTCATCAGAGTTGTAAGAGTGCTTCCAGCTAGTGAAAATTGAAAGTCAAAGTCATAAGCAGAGTTATAAGTTAGGCAGATTTGTAGTATCAAGAATCAGATTGGTTTCATGTTCTTTGGATTAGACTACTTATGACTCTGATGTTTATGATCAGTAAAAACTTGATTGTCGGAGATAGACGCAGACTAGGAAGAATCACCCAATCACAATAACAGTTCTCAGGCCCTTCCAGCACAGTCTTCCACTTACCACTCAGACAATTTACTGTAGTTTTTGCTGAATCATAAGCAACAGAGTAGTAAGTATTTTTCTTTTGATTCTGTTGATTTGATTTTCACTTGGTTGCATCTTATGATTTAGACTCCGACTCAGGCTTGGTCACCAATAAAAATCAACCTAAAAGAATAAGGAAGCTGCTTGTTATATGTAGAAAATTTAGCTTTCAGTGTGAATCTCAAGAATGTATATATTACATGTATTTGACAGGTCTCCTCCATCTTAAGTTTAAATTACAAAGTTACAGAGTTAATTTTGTTAACTAAAGTAACAAAGAATGCTCAAGTGTTCTGATTTGCTATATTTCAATTTTGCCAGTGAGTTGGATAAAACATGCGAGGGTCTACCAACATCATCAAGTGGCTCTCTTTCTTTGGGAAATACAGGATTATTAAGCTTGGATCCTATTGAAGACAAGACTGCACTGTATGACAAGGTTCTAGACACATATGACTGGCATGAGAAGGTATTAATGATAATTTAGTTATGGTGACTGATGCATACAGGCTTTAACTTCATATTATTGAGGTACAAGACCAGAGAAATGAAAATTATCCCTCAAATGAAGAGATACATTAAGTTAAGTTGTTCAGTTTATATTGTCTCAGTATCAAATGGTCTTTAAGTTATTGATTGAGCCAAGTCAAGATCAAATAGAGCTCATTCAATGTCACATCAACCTTTCAATCAATAAATGTTTCAATCTGCACTAAAATTGGGTGTGAAAATTTACGTTGTGTAGGTGCATATGATTATACAATCTCTTACAGCACTATAAGAAATAACATCTTTTGTTGTTTTATTTTAATTTTTATGTTAGCTGACCTCAGAGGCTCAACAGGCATTATCATGTTTGAAAAGACATCATCCCTTACATGGTTCAGATCGTTCTTCACCATCTCCAAAGAAGGCAAAGACAAACTCAAGAGAGTTCCTACGAGGGTAAATGTTTCTGAGATGGTTTCACTTTTCACATCAATTTCCAAGAGCCTAAATACAATATGATGGCAATATAAGTGACAGAAGGTGTCATTTGTGTCAAGATTTGGGGCTGCACAGTATTATTATGATGCATTGCATTTATTTTTTTCATTGGCCAAGAGCTCACCTGTGACTGGTGAATAAACTCCTTCAAATTATGGTCCTCTCATGGGTAACACCTGCTATCCCAGTTAGATCTGGAGCAGTTTTTTTCCTGGAAAAAGGCAGATTACTTTCCCAAGCTGTCTGAGATTCTGGAAAATAAATATGACATACAATCTTGGCAAATTACAAAATAGAGTGACTTGCCTGTGTCTTATAGATCAATTAGGCTCTGGGGTATGAGTGACCCTTTCACCAAAGACATGTCATGATGGTTTGCTCAGCCTCACTTCATAATTGCTAAATATTGAAATTTTGGTTAGTGCAAGCTGCTGATATTGTGGAACTAATGAACACCAGTTGTCTTTACTAGGCTGTGGTTGGTGGCATTTTGCATTCACATTTCAAACTAAACTCTAAAAAAATTGAAAAGTTCTCAAGACAACCTTCATTTCATTTTTTTAATCTTGAAATGTAACTTGCACAATGTTTCAAGTAATTTCCAGGGGTAGTTTTTTGCCAAAATGTAGTTTTTGCTATGTTGGATTTGGCCTGTTGGATTGACAAGATATTGTCAGCCTGCTATTTCATTTAGTGTGATGGACTACCATGTTATAATGGACAAAGTCATATTTGTGGGCAGGTGAACAACTCTGCAACATGTGTGACCTTGATTATGACTTGTTGATGACTCACAATGTTGCAGGGAAATTCAAAAAGCTTTGAGTGAAAGCAAGTCTTTGTATCCTTGCTTAGAGCTGTCAACATCAATGGCACATGGAGCTCCTGTTGTTGAGGTATGAAGAGTTTTGTGTCCAGTCTATGCTAAAACAGTCTCTATGAAGTGTTGAAGTCAATTTGATAAGAATACAAATTAAAACCTACATATAATTAATATAATTATTCTTGAATGTGATTGGTTATTAGCAGTGCAAGTCTTGTTATTTATATTTTTTCACTCAAATTGCATTTGTAATGTTTGTGTTACTTGATTGAAATACAACTTAAGCACAGGAAAGAGTAGAACTTTTTCTGCCTGCCCTTACATAAATGTGGTACTGAGTGAAATTTAAGGAGATCTTTAATAATGTTTCCTAGGTTGTTGTACCAAAGACGCTGAAAGCAACAATGATTCTTCGCAATATGTCAGAAATTGACCAAGTCGTAATAAGAGGAATACAGGAGAGCAAGCTCCTGGATAAGGAGGTAAATAGCTGATCAACCTTTAAAAGTATTTCTTTTACCCACAGTTTGGTGGAATTTACTTACTTGAAAAAAGGTTGGTCCATTGTTTAACATGGTAGACAGTTAACCCCCCCCCCCTTTCCAGAAGACTGGAAGGCCAGCCCTCTCAAATATCCCCTGAATCAAATTTGAACACAGCCAACGTCACATTGAATAATAGGAAATATCCGGAGCACAAGTAAGTGTTATTAGAGTTTTCCACACACACGTATTTTTCCAGTTGAAGTTAGCTTGTGGTAGCCTCCCTGTTGGTGGTTGGTGGCAAAAAAGTATTACAGGCTCACTTCCTTCTTTTTCCTTCCTTGCCTGAACCATGTCATTTTTTCATGTGCCTACTTTTTCATTTGCTTCCACTGACCAAGAGACTGGCATAGGGTATTAGGAGTTGTGTACATGTATAGAGGAAGCCATGTGAGCCAAAGACTAAGACCTATATGTACCGGTGTAATACACAGTGTTTACGTCTGAACACTAACATTTAAATTCATCTTTATCCAATTTTATAATACAATATCATTGTGCAACATGTAATCTAAGCCTTACTTTTACTAAAATACACTTTAGAGTCGATCATTAGCAAATTAGCTAGTGTGAAACTCACCAAATCCACGATGGTGAATTTTAACATCCAGGAATTAGAAACCACAAAATGGTAATACTTGAAATATTTCTTTGGATCAATTTATGTTTTTTTTTTCAATGAATGCATTTTCCTCGTAGGAATCATGGTCTCAGTCAGCTCATGCTGTCTTCAGAAAGGTGATTATCTCTATGTATCGTGCATAGAATTTATTTGTTTTAAAGCTCATTAAGTGACATTACTTTTTATGACAAAATTTTTGCACAAAAGTGAATAATCTTGACCTTCTCTCCTATAATCAGTAACCACTCTCCTATAAGCACTAAGAAATGACAATCATACAGAAATATACAAAATCATCTTGTTGTTTGCCAGAACAAGCAAAGCTGCATCAAGGGGAAGGTGTACGTTAGACCGAGGCCATTTTCTCACTTGTTGAAATCCACGGGTGGGAAAGGGTGGGTAAATGACAGAAGAGAGAAGCGAACAAAGAGTGATATTACGGAATAAGAAATGAGCACCCATGATCTGGGAAGAGTTCATGTACATATATAATTAGCGGATGCCTTGCGTGATACTGCCATTGGGCGATATCTGATGGCTCACATGCAATTGTTATCCAACAGATAACAGATTATGCAACATCAGTTGTATTAAACCATTACTCCCCAAGTGATCCTACATCTCAAGTGAGAGGCTTACTGGTAAGTTAAGTATAATTTTTTTGTCTGGCATTAGTACTAAGGGTAGGGTAGTTTTAAAATTTAAGGAGGTTATTTTCAGATATCTATGGTGAAAACATCGCAGCTTGAACTCAATGGATGCAATTTTTTACGTCTGAGTTGACGAAAATGTAAGTGTGACTGTTCTTTGAAGAGTATTGAGGTGAAACCAAAACCAAATTGATATCAAGTGCCAGTAAAAGGTGACGAAAATATGATCAGGAGCCACTCGCAAATGTAGAGCTGGAAGTGAAATAAGGAAACTTCCTGAAGCGCACACTCCTAAGATTGATCTATCGGTACAAAAACGAAACTTGCGTGATCGTTTTTGATTTTGTCCTTCAGAAATGGCTGAACAGCTTTCAAGCTCTTTTCTCCATTAAGTGTGTCGGCTGTGGCTTTCACTTAAAGGAGGAGACAGAAAATGTCTTCCTTCCCCCTTGCTGGCGAACATTCGAAGATCTATCACCCTACCATTACCAATGCAGACCTTAGTCACTGTGCCGCTTTGCTAGCATTTGTGCAAGTTTTTGTGCTGGGAAAAATGGCAGACATTTCTGAGGAGGGATACCGTTTGCGTAAGGTTCAATCAAAACTGACAAACAATTGTCAGAACGTTAGCGCGTGGTTGGTACAAGTGGGACAAGATTGGCGCACGATTTGTGCGAGGTTTGCAGTATGCAATAAGAGAGTTAAACTTCGACCTGCCCTCCCCAGAAACCTCTTAGTTATTGTCTTGTTGACCCAGGATCTCAGTTTGGAATCCTATAAAGTGTTTATTTTGTGAAAAGGTGGAGAAGAGTCGAAGTTAAATGCAGTATGTTTGGTAGGAATTTGTACAATTCCAAATCTAAAGCAGGTGAATGACTAATTTCAAACATGCAAGAATTTGACTGTGGTCGAAAGATGTATTACTGCTATTGTCTGTGCACTGAAACGAAGAATTTTGTTAGCAAAAACAGCGTCGGCCAAAGTCTTGAACTTTGTACTGTAAGGTGCCTTTGTGATAGTGCGATATTTTAGCTGCCATCCTCGGAAAAATGTACATGCAGCATCAACTGCCTTTAATTAAGTCTTTGGAAAACGCTTATATTGTGGAGATAACATCATAGTTCAACTCGAGGCGCTATTTCCATGGTTTCTTAGTTGAATCACATCAGTAAATAGGTACGGTAGTGACATGGTGCCCTTATAATGCAAGAAAAAAAATTACAGACAGACTGCAAACAAGGAAACAGTGGTGCAATCAAAGAAAAAACTCAAAGCAGGGGTTATTAGAACTGTAGATAGGTCATTCAGACGATATCCCACAGTGCTCAGTTAGTGTCTTTTGAAAAGAACAGACAGCTTGGTGAAAAATGACTCTAAAGGGACGTAGAATTGTAGGGTACATATGTTTATAGATATTCCTTTCGTTGAAAGTATAACAGCTGACAAAACTATGAGATAAAATACAGTAAGGAAATTTATTTTTGTTTAATTTTTCTCTTAGTTGAACTAATTTTTAGCGCTCAATAAAAACTCTAAGTAATTCTTAAGCAACAGTTGGAAAAAAAATCACAAACTTAACATTCATTTGAATATTTACAATAATATTAATTATTTTAAGTAACTATTAAAATTGTTGTTGTGTAAGGATGCAGCATGTTATAATACAGTGCCTTGTTTCTTAGCGGTGGAATTACCAATTCATGCAATTGGACAAAGGAGCTCAAAAAATGAGAAAAATCAGGGCTTTGTAGTCGCTACTCTATAGTCATTACCATGAGGAGAAGCCAAGAATTCAGGGCCTGGTCGAAAAATTCGGGTCCTTTCAACACCCAAAGGAGAAGACCAAGTTAAGAGACTAAATTCAACGTAAGAGATCATCTTAGACTCAAAATATTTCGTCTCGCGGTCAGAGCACGAACAGACGTCGCACATGATATCCATGTGAGCAAATTGCGACTCCTGATGGCTATTTCTAGATCCTGCTGAGATCTTGGAGAAAACTTGCGTGATCTAACAATAGCTTAAAGAGGTATTACTGAAGGATCAGGCCTTTATGGGGGATGCAGTCTCATAGCGTCATACTCTCCTGTTTCGCAGTTGCCTAAATTGGTATTTCCACTCTGCGAAAAGTGTAGTAACTTTCATGTTCACGTGTTTTGTTTACTACGACAAAACTTAACAGGGACGATTGTAATGCATAGCACATGGTCATCAAAATTGGAACATTAATAAGATGGCGAATATTGCAGTTATTATCACATCTCAAACAAGCTACAACGATTTAATGATGTAATATAGTGATGTTTACATGTATATACAAGAAAATTCGACGATATATTTTGCTTTTTTTTCAGTTTTTGCTTAAAACACTAGTACTTATAGTCATTTTTTAGAGTTCTTTTGAAATTGTTTATTTCCAAGTTAAAACTATGTACTTGAATTTATGGCATGAATCTACAAAGTTTTAAATGAACAAACATATTTACATCTATCCAACTCTAGACAGTACTGTTTCGGTCATCAGGGCCTCATAAGTGCAGTGCTGATGCTTGGATGGAGGTAAAGGTATATAGCCACCCCAAATAATCCCACACTTGTGTATCATCTAAGCCATGCCAGAGTGCTCAAACTAGTACCCTCTCTATATATAGGTATATATTGTAAATTTTAAATAATAATTTTCTAACCACAAATATCTAGGACCCTAAGTTTATCGAAATGGACTGTAACAGTAACCAAACCATGGCTAAGTTCAGCGGAAAATAATTCTAGTGATGAACGATTTCAAACTCCATTTATTTGTTTGCATGTATGGTTTTCAATCCTTTTTTAGAGAGGAAACATAACTCGAACACTTATCGTTGTCTTTTTAAATTCAATTTCTTTTCTATTTTGTTACTCGTCATGTTTATAAAACGAGTTCGCCTGGTTTTATTAGTTTCTTAGAGGAATGTATACTATTCTTACCAGACCTTAATCTTTTTTGTTGTCTTTTATCACTTTAGTTGATTATATTTAATCAGTCGAAAGCAGAACGTCGTCACTGCCTATTTGCAGTGCAGTGACGAGAATAATGAAAATAATTATAAAAGTTCTAATGATAATAAATGACATAAATCTACCACCGTTCTATGAAAGATGCTGCAATCCTATTGGCTACGCAACTTACTATCTAGTTTTCTATAGATATCGAGTAAAAAGTGTGGCACCTATGATAAGCTATTATTCAAGTAGACATGAATCTGCCCTGTTGATAAGATTTAAGAAACTTTGCTTTTTCGAAAGCAACTAGATCAATCGCTGTCTATTGCTGTGAATGATAGGAATTTCGAACCAATAAATTCTTAACTATAAACATAATAATAGTGATAATAATATTGATAATAATTATAATGATGATGATAGTATAGATAAAGACAATTCATATTTCACTCGTTTTAAACGCTTAGTAATAAAACGTGTGAATTTTATTGTTCTGAAAAATGTTGGCTTATTGTTGAAAATTTATCAGATATCACCGGTGAGTTTAGCTAAGGTCAGCCACCCCATTGGTCGTGCAAAAGTGCTGAATATTGAATATCCTCTACACATAAATTACTCAGTGCTTCAAAACAATTGTCATCTTTATAACGCAGGCTCACTTTGAACCCATAGGCTGTTGCTCTTCCGGCTTCCGCTACTTTTTCTCTCTGCGGTAGAGCTCGGAAAATACTTCCGTAAATTGCTGAAGACTTTCAAGAAATATGTGATCGGTAAAATGCTGGATAAAAGTTCTAAAGGGAATGTACAAAATCGAATCCGCTCTGTTGATGCCGCATCAAGTACGACTTAATTAGTTGGCTTCACACAAACCTTCTCGTGGAGTGTTCATACACTACAACAGAATCCTGTTTCAGTGTAACGAGGACCAAAGAAGACTCTATCGAATGTCAAAAGGGGTCCTACGTGAAAGCACTTTCAAACGAATGCTTGTCTGGCAGTTTGCAAAGTTATCCATCTTGCATTTGTACTACATTTCTTTAGATAACTTTCGCATGCGCTTTTCCTGCAGAGGACTACTCTATCGATTTCAAGTCGTTTCTACAATTACTGAATTGTAAGAACTAATAGGGCATTCCACACATCAGTGATTGTCAAGGAAAATTTGTCGAATGTTATGGAATATGTTTTCTTCTTACTCTGTTTTCTCTCGCTGCATAGTTTCACAGAAACTACTCACCTTTTCTTCATGGAAGGATTGAATTTTATGGATATTTTTTAGCTACCTCTACCCTTTTTTCCTTGCCCTCACTCAAAGCTCCGACATTTTCAGAGATCTGTTGTGTCTACAATAACCTTCAGGAACATAACATCGTCTCTCACATAGGCGTGGTTATTTAACTCCGATAGAGAACAAAACATCGGGCACCCACTCGCAATGTTTGATTCCCTTCGTGGCCTTTGGAAAGATGAACTGTTTGGATCGGGTCTGAAAGCATCAACCACGTGCTCTACGTTATCTTGATCCAACAGCATGAAGGTCACCTTCTGTCTAAATGGCCAGCGGAGTAATGCATCGTAGTCTCCACGCATGACAATGAAGAACAGCGACAGATGGGTTCCTTTACCCATTCCATCACCGTTTAAGTAAAGTCGCGCGCACATTTTGTAACCATGCTGACTGGTATGAAAGCACGGGCTATATATTGAGACCTCTCGCCCAGTTATGGCATCATTTTTCTTACGTGCAAAATCTGATATTTTCCAGAGTAAGATCCCATTATATGTAGAAACTTGCTGCTTTTGAACATGTTCTTCGATATCAGACAAAACAATATTTCTGAGCGCCAAATTATGTTCTACAGACTCCATTCTTCGTTCGAGTCGTCTAATACTGTCCACCGCGCCATCCAATTGGCGTTTAACAGACGATACTTCTTGTCTCACTTCGTTCAACTCACGCCTTGTTTCGTTTACCAAGAACTCGATATTATTGGTGCCATTTTCGGCATTTGTGAGACGTCGTGAAATCTCGTCCGAAATGGGGAGTGGTTGTAACGAAGAGAAAGTTGCCGATTGTGGGAACTGGTCTCTATGGGTTGAAACTCTTTTTTCCATCGACACAAGTCTCATAGAATTATCTTCTAGCTTCTGTCGTAAGTCGGTTTGCTCGCGTACCACTGTGTCGATGCTTGATATGGCGTTAGCGATGGTCATCTCCGATCGTCTCATCCACTGATCGGAGGTGCCACCACCCCATGCACCACCCATAGAGAGCTGACTTTTCACTTGCTCTTCTAGCCGAAGAACACTCGTCAAGAGTAGATTTAAGTGCAAAATTGCACTCAGCTCATTATGTTTCTTGACCTCGGATTGCTTCATTTTCTGTTAGTACAGGGGTTTAAGAAAATCATCCTTGATTATTGGTAGTTGGTTTGTGTAAACGAAATTTCTATTTGACAAATCGTCTTTGCCTTTTTTGATGCTTTTATTGCAACTTTCGTAGATTTAGTGTCCCCGGTTGAATATATTTTGCAGCCGTTTTTGAAGACGTTAGACATCTCAATAAAACGGCTTTGAAGGGGACTTCAGTTGATACACTAGTGTTTCGAATAGTGAAATGTTGGGAAAATTTATTATCACTTCGGCAGGTGGCCCATACGAAGGATAAATTTTATTTCAATAGTTCTTAAAAGGCAACTAGGTAAAATCTTCAGATAATACGAACCTTGTTGTTGCTGCAACCAATCTGTTGAAATGCACAGGTCCTCTCGACTGCCTCACAGTCACCATGAATGGGATTAACATGGCTATCCATCTGTGAGGATTGAAGGGACGGTAAAAATCTTAGTTATAAGCCCAGGTCGACAACTCAGAAGGGTTTCTTTAAATTTCCGTGTCTTAGAAGAGCAGTGTAATATTTGGTTCATTGTTTTTTTTTTTAAGGAAAGGTGGACACTTAAGTTGTACGATCTAATTCTGCAGATTTTGGTGCACTACAAAAATGAAATAGATCAACTGCAAAAATGACATACTGATGCAAATGTAGCGCTTCACACGAATACGGTAAAACTTCTCCCTTAGCTTTGAGATAAATCTCTTAAAGTAATACTCAGATTTAGTTCAACTGTTTTGGCTGTCCACCAGAAGAAATGTGTACGCAGTTGGATGACGTTTTAAACATGGCTACCTCTCCTCGCGGAATTCCTTCTTTGCCACATCTACCACATTGAATGGGATACATTTTGCAATCCTGTATTTGATGAGTCTAAAAGTTTGGAATCGAGACAAAAACAGAAGTGAATAACAAACAAGAACGAGGGTCGGAACAATTTTTGTTAACATCTGTTTAGTTTTTGATGAGAATCCATTTGCTTTGAGGATGTTTCAATAAAGGTACGTATGAATGCAAGTGTTCGCGGAAAACTGGTAATAAAGAAAGAGGCGCACTCGACATGTTAAAAGGAGTTGGCCATTTGTTGTCACTTATTACAAATGGTTTAGAGTTAATTTTAATCATACGCATATATGAAAAGCACGGCTTTATGTTGTTGTCCCTGTAACAAACTAAACTAAACTGGCCGTATGATTTAAAAAAAGCCTGAATGAGAAGAGTTATTGCGGTAAAAGTAACTTTAGAGGGTGATCAAACTGACCTCAAGAACAGCAGCAGTCATGGAATCACCGCACAACGGACATTGTTGGGTGCGATACGGACACTCATGTTCCTGATGTCGCTGAAGATCGGATCTTTTCACACGTTTTTGACAGTTACAGTTAGAGCAGTTTACTCTTTCCTCAGGGCAGGTAGATCGGTGTTTCTACACAAGAAGGAAAAGAAAATTATAGTGCCGCTCTTTGTGTACTGTTTGACTTTTTCCTCGCCTGATATAGTTTTGCAGTAGTGGTAGGAATACACTTTGAACAACTCGGTAGTTTTAGTCTCTTTGCCAACCGGTGTGCGTGGCTGGGAAAAGTTAATTTTTTTTCGGCAGAACGCATCGAAAAACAATAGACTAGGTTTCGAGAGGAGATAAGTAGGGAATATGATGGCTTATGATTTACAGGTAAAAAAGATAGCAATTTCGATCGCCATTGCCTCATTTTTTTTTCCAAAGAATTGGTTCCCCTTCTCAACCGATGAAATTCAGACTTTATCCTTACTTTATCGGATGGTAAATCCTACCTGCGAATTGTAGTGTGACTGGTTCTTTGACTTTTCTGACTTTGACTTACCTCAATATGTCTCACTTCTCCTTTCCACTTGCAGCCATCCGGTGAATTAGGGCATGTGACTACGAGGGAAAGAACTTCGCGCTTCATAAAGTTGTCGGGGAATATCTGCATACAAATTAAGAAACGTTTTCCGTTAAAAAATGTTATCAAAACAGGTCTTGGGCTTGATTATTATGGTATCCTTTAGCACCAACAATATCTATTCATGTTAAGAATGTGTCATTGCAATAAATGACTGTGAATATGTGAAATCATACGTGTGAACTGTGGTTGAAGAAACGAATATGGAAGCGTATATGACAACATAATGACCAGCTCCCAGTCGGCTTGTTAACTCAGTTGGTAGAGCGCTGCACCGGTATCGCAGAGGTCATGGGTTCAAATCCCGCATGGGCCTGAATTTTTTCAGGCCTTAGTTTCACTGCGTACTGAAGTAGTGTTCGTAACTGCGAGGATCGTTTCCATATTCGTGTCCTTACAAATTTACCTGGTCTTCCGCAAAGGGTGCCTTGTCAACAAGACAGATGTAGGTTCCATCATCCCTGTCAATGGAAAAATTCGTAATGTTGAAATTTGGGTGCTTTAATGATGATGCTAATGTAAGCAGTTCTTTAGGCAAATTCACGTGAGCAAAAGATCTTACAATTGATTTCACTAATCCCTCGCTTACTCAGTCAACCAAAACCTTCATACATTATCTGCAAAAGGTGCATGAACCCTTGAGATTATTTTACATTGCATAGTTCCTATAACAAGGCTTTGTTTAGGCTTGTTTTTCGAAATTTATTGAAATTATGATCAGTGATTCAGTTACCCCTTGAGGTGAGAAATACAAGAGATGCAGTAAACATGGCCACAACCCGTCTGGACAGGATCTTTGAGGATGTTTTTGCACAGCGAACACAAATAGCGTGAATCAATTGTGCCGTTCATAGGCAACGTATATCCCGGCAGGAGATATCAGTGCTGCATCCTTCTAGGTTGGTGTTGATGGCTCCCTTAGAAGAAATGGATACAAGAATTTCAAATCAGCTAATAAGTGACATGTTTGAAAGAAAGAAGGAATTCCGGTGATGATTAGGCCTTGTGTTTAAAGACCACTTAAGTTACTTGAATAAACATCATTCAGTCCGAACAAACTTCACACGAACACGACTTTCCTTTCCTGAAAATGTTAAATGTGACTCGCACTAACAATGAAACAAGTTAAAATAGAATCATCTCATACTCAAACCTAGCTTTAGTACATCAATATGGCACTTCAATGTCTATATAAAAGACCAGCTTTACATAAAAGACCGTTTGGTTTCCGAGATAACGTTATCTACCTCGTAGGAAACAAACGAAGGTGGAAGTAAAAATGCTTTAGCAATATAATAATAATAATAATAATAATAATAATAATAATGACGTTTCTATGAACGCATTTCAAGTCTCAATGCACTTGCATTTACCTATAAAATCGATTTTCAACACATAATGACTAGAACACGAAAGAAGTAAAGACACATTCCTCACAGTTTAAAGAAGAAACTTTTGAAATAAAAATGTTCTCTGGCGGCTGTGAACGAGGGTTCGAAGGGTCATTCTTGATGATGAAGTAGGAGCTATAACAGAGTTTGTTCACTCGTCAATAGTGGTCTCGTCTTCCGTTAAGTAACTGAAGCAAGTTTTTAACCTGAGCTTTTATAAACTAGTAAGACATACGTGTTACTTCCGCCTCAATACGTCGCTACGTAGCTACAGCTTACGAGGAAACACTTTTAGTTTAAGATGCATAGAAAACGTTGCTCAACACTAAAGCCCAGTCGGTTAGAGCAGTGTTATGTGTGAATAAGGATTAGATACCTGGGTAACTGAAATAATAAACCTAATCGAAACTCCAACCAGTCAGGGCGCGACCCCATTTCCGAGAATTCAAGTATGGACAACACAGACAACAATAATTAATAATTTGAAACCTAAATTAGTTGTTTCGTATCGCTTTTGACTATGAAGAGGTTTCCAAGATATCACTACGCGATAATCAACCGAACGAAGCGACGTGAGGTTGGAAAACTTGACTGCAATGTATCTAATGTTCTTCACAACAAATTCAGTGCCTAATTAGCACTCTAGGAGTGCTCAAAATATGGGTTCTTCGGTAGTGTAGTCGACTTCCTTAATTGTCGAAATCCAATAGTTTTCCTTGTACACTCTCTTCTTCTCAGAACACATTCATACACTTCACTTACATGTGTTTCAGGCTCGATTATCAGAAGATTCCATTTCTTCGTAGCAAAGAGGGCGTCAAGGCACTGTGACATATGCTAATATCACTTAGAACTTTAGGCCAAACATATTGTTTTACGTTAGCTACAGAAGGGGAATCCCCGAATCTCATAATCATCAACAGTCACACAAAGCAACGTAAACGCTGCATCTGTGACAGATGTGTTTGCCGGGGTCCTTCTTGGTGATTTTTTTCGCTTGTAACCGGTGATTTTCTAAGAACAATATAAAAACTCATAGATAGAAAGAACTCCATAAGTTGCTAAACCTGTGTTGACGGGAACAAGGTAATATGGACAGTGTCGTAATGACAATATAATTGATTTCGCTTCGTTTACCAAGCCAAAAATATTTTTTGGAAAGTTCTGGCTAGAGTTAAGTATATCTAGTTTTAAACAAGACTCTGACGTATATTGAAAACTTTCCGTTTTAACCACTAACGAAACACGTTTCACATATTGCAGGTAGGGTTTTAATAATGGACTGAATGTGAGTTGGCATCGTTATGTCAATTTATGCTTAAAATATTACTTAAGAGCTTTAAACTCCGAATTCTATGCCAGTATAGTAAAAGTGTCGAAAACGAGATCTTGGACTATAGAGATGTGATCCTGTTCAGTAGAGTTCCCGAAAACGAAATTATCAAAGTAGACTTTCATTATATGCATCCACCCACTGGCTTCCAGTTAATTTCTATGACATCATTGTCTTATTTATTCTAATGACCTATGACCTTTGTAATTATGGTACTGGTGATGCCTGAAGCGTTTATTCTAAATACAACGATGCAATCATCCTGAGTTTATATATTCAATTTTTGTTATTTACTTTTTGCTGCACATTCGATGAATTGGTAACCGCGGGTTAAATGAGCTTAAAGGAGAGTACGGGGGCCGTCAAGATTTTGTCGATACGATATTCGTAGTATTAAGTTGGAACATTATTCATTTTTTTCCGAGTGGAACATGATTGTCGGGTTCATTCTGGACATTCTGTTTGGGGAACTTACATTTTGTTTCGAAGGGTAACTGCTAATGTCCGTCGGTTCGTTAACATTTTTTTTTTAACTTTGTAGATGGCCCAGACTCAGCAAAGTATTCTACTGTTATGGTCACCGTGAGAGTTGCAGAGCTACTGAGAACGCCTATATCGAAATAAATTCGGGAACTCACGGAGCCGTGAGATCTTGACAGTTCTATGATGCAAACTTTTCACTCCAATACTCGCGGATGAGGATGATCAGTTGAGGGCGGAGCTCCACTTTTAGGCTCAGCTAGATACATCAATGTGCGAGGCAGATAACCAAACGTGTAAAGAAAGAGACAAATATTGAATTAAACCCTAAAAAAAAAAAACGACAACAACAAAAACAGATAAAGGACCGCAAGAGCCCAATAATGATAAAAAAGTTCTCAGCCCGGCTATGCATATTTTCCTCCAAAGCCATGAACATATTTTACATCAGTTATTCGATTTACACTCGCAATTCGTTCTCAGTAGTTCAATAACCAGGTCTTTTGTAAACAATTTTTTTTAACCTGAAAAGCCACTGTTTGAGGAAACGTGCAGCTCAGAATATTCCTTCTGGAATTAGGACCAAACGCAAACTTGTACTTGTAACGGACAAGCTGATGCTTCAGTTACTGTTCCAGAGGAAAATTGAAAAGCATTTTTTGTAAAAGTTTTTTTTATAGGATAGACGATGATACAATAAAAAATCCAGCACTTCGAAATACGATAATTTCTTATGCTTCAAGTTACACATATCAAGCAAACGTGTAATCAGGAAAGTGAGTTACCCGCTTTCAGTATAACGGAAATAGATAATCCTAACTTAAAATAAACCTTGACGACAAAGATGAAATGGAGTTTTGCAAGCGATCTCTTTCACTGGTTGGGGACGTGAATTTTGCATAGCTTCCTCCCATTTCTTTTGAGCATATGTATTCCTTAAGTGTTAAGAGATAGCATTTGTGTCAATATTTGGGGCTGCACAATATCATAATAATGCGCTGCATTTATTTTTATCATTGGCCAAGAGCTTACCTGTGACGGGTGAATAACCTCCTTCAAATAAGGATTCCCTCTTGGGTAACACCTTCTATCCCAGTTTCGCTGCTAGTTATTATACTGATCTGGGGAAGTTATGTATTTGGAAAATGGCAGATGACTTGCCAAAGCTGTCTGAGATTCTGGAAAATAAATGTGACAATCAATCTTGGCAAATTGCATGCCTAACTTGTTGTTGCAAAATAGAGTGACTAGTCTGTGTCTTGTAGATCAATTGGGCTTTGGGGTATGATTGACCCTTTCACCAATGACATGTAATGATGTTTTGCTCAGCCTCACTTCATAATTGCTAAATATTGACATTTTGGTCGGTGCAAGCTGCTGATACTGTGTTACTAATTAACACTAGTTGTCGTTACAAGACTGTGGTTAGTGGCATTTTGCATTCACATTTCAGACTAGACTCTAAAAAAATTAAAAGGTTCTTATGACAACCTTTATTTCATTAATTTTAATCTTGAAATGCAATATGCACAATGTTTAAAGTAGTGCGCAGGGGTCGTTTTTTTGCAAAAATGTAGCTTTTTCTAGGGTGCATTTGGCCCGTTGGATTGACAGATATTGTCAGTCTGCTATTTCATGTAGTGTGATGGATTGCCATGTTATAGTGGACAAAGTCACATTTGTGGGCAGGTGAACAACTCTGCAACATGTACGATATTGATTATGACTTTTTGATTACTCACAATGTTGCAGGGAAATTCAGAAAGCTTTGGGTGAAGGCAAATCTTTGTATCCTTGCTTAGAGCTGTCAACATCAATAGCTCATGGAGCTCCTGTTGTTGAGGTATGACAAGTTTTGTGTCCAGCCTATGCTAAAACAGTTGATATGAAGTGTTGAAATCAATTTGATAAGTGTACAATTTAAAACTTACATATAAATATTCTTGAATGCTTTCTTCAGAAAGGTGAGTATCTTTTCGTGTCGTGCATAGAATTTAATTGTGTTTAAAAGCTTATTAAGTGACATTGCTTTTTAGGACAAAATGTGTGCAAAAAAATGAATAATTATGTCCTTCTCTCTTATAATCCTAAGCACTAAGAAACAACAATCGTACAGACATATACAAAATCATCTTGTTGTTTGCCAGAACTAGCAAAGCTTCATCAAGGGGAAGGTACATGTAGGACCGAAGCCCTTTTTCCCCTGATGCAGTCCACGGGTGGGAAAGGGCGGGTAAATGACAGAAGAGAGAAGCGAACTAAAAGTGATATTACAGAATAAGAAATGAGCGCACATGATCTGGGAAGAGTTAATGTACATGTATAACTAGCGGATGCTTCGTGTTATACTGCTATTGGGCGATGTCTGATGGCTCACATGCAATTGTTATCCATCAGATAACAGATTCTGCAACATCAGTTGTATCACACCATTAATCCCCAAGTGATCCTACATCTCAATTGAGAGGCTTACTGGTAAGTTAAGTATAATTTTTTGTCTGGCATTAGTTCTAAGGGTTGGGTGGTTTTAAAATTTAAGGAGATTATTTTCAGATATCTATGGTGAAAACATCGCAGCTTGAACTCAATGGATGCAGCTTTTTACGCCTGAGTTGACGCAAATACAAGTGTGATTGTTCTTTGGAGAG